GGTCCCATCGGCCAGTGGGGCGGCTCCCCGGGGCTGCCTGACCTGAGCTCGGACCTGTACAGCCTGGGTTTAGTGAGCACGTACATGGACAGCGTCATGTCCGAGGTGCTGGGCCAGAAGCCCCAGGGGCCCCGGAACAACACGTGGCCCAACAGGGAGCAGAGTGACGGCGTCTTCGGTGTCCTGGGAGACGCGCTGCCTTTTGACCCTGCAGGTGACATCCAGCTCCTTGTTTTGGTTTAATTGTATCCATGTTCTTCGTATTGTATTGGAACCCTTTTTTTTTTTTGCTTGCAATGGTGAGAGATTGCAAATGACTAGACTGCTTCAGGGTGGACTTGGCCGCGCATTGGCATATTTGCAGATTTTTTTTTTTAAAACCGTAATATTATTTATACTTTGGATTTTTTCCTTTTTTCTGGGATTTTTTTTCCATTCTATTTTTTCTCTATTTCCCCTTTTTTTTTCTTTATAATACAGCAAAATGTTTATTAGTGGGTTTTTGAAAAAAGATTTTTGGGGGTTTTGGAAAAAAAATTACATTTTTAGGAAGGAGTCAATTATTTGCATTTTTTTTTAATATTCATGGCATGGAATATGGTGGGAATGACCACTTGTTGGGTGTGAACAGCGAAATGAACATGATCCACCATCAAAGACAGCCTTAAATGAATTTCCCCTTGTGGGGACAGCACTTCATCACACAGTTGCAGTATCAGCAGACTGCAACTGTATCGCTCACCATTCCGGTTATGTTTCTCCGTACATTCCAATTGTACTGAAAACAGTACATTGGTGGCACGCAATATTTGGCATCTGACACTTTCTCTTCTTACTTGCGCTTTTTACGCCGCGGTCGACGGTCCGGCGCCAAATTAATTTTCCGAGGAAGAGGTCAGAAAGTCAATCCTCTCCTTTATCTATTTTGACAGTTGGCTCCGACCCGGAGTTCGCCCGTTACGTGGCCGGCGTGAGCCAGGCCATGCAGCAGAAGCGTCAGGTGCAGCACCCACGTCGCCCCAGCAACCCTCGCAGCAACTGGTCCATCCCCGACGAGCAGCACAGGACATGGACGCACCCTGAGTACTACAGCGAGGGGTAAGTTGTACCTTGTGCACCGACACCACCCAAGGGTTTATCAAAAAATTAGACCAACGAAGGTTTTCCATCAGTTTGTCTCCATGTACATATAAGTTGAGGGATCAAAGAGTCTGCCAAAGACCCGTTGTTGTTTGTTTGCATTGTCAGCGAGGCGGTCAACAGCAGCTGGTCGGCCAATCAGGGAGACTCCGCCAGCTCCAGCGACGAGACGTCCTCCGCCAACGGCGACAGCCTCTTCTCGATGTTCTCTGGACCCGACCTCGTGGCGGCGGTTAAACAAAGAAGGTAACGGAGCCAGGAGACACATCACGCTGTTTAGGCGCGTGGCCCAGCTGGCTTGTTTCTTGATTTGAATCAAATCCAGGAGAGCTTTTGAGCACCACAATTTGCCCACCCTGGGTTTGGAATATGCGTGGTTGAAATTTGTTTGGAACAAAATGACAAACATCTCAAGGACAAGTCACAAATGACCCTAAAATGGCCGGCACAAAACCAAAATCGCAGATTTCAAATGTCTGGTGCGAAGTTTTCAGACTTTTTGCGTGGGTCTACTCTTGAGAGACAAAACGAGGCAATTCTTAGTCGTACTCCTTCACGAGCAGGATTGTTGATGAATCCACAAAGTAATCCTAAAACATGTGTGCAGGAAACACAGCTGTGGTGAGCCGGAAGCGTGCACGCTTCCCTCTCCGCCTCTCCACCACATCGCCGATGACAACCAGGTAAGAATCACACGAGAGCCACAAGGAGGTGGCAGAAATCCTTTTTTTTTTTTTTTGTACATTCTGCGTGATTGTATTCCAACGATTTTCTCATCTTGCAACTAGTTTTTCAAAATGCCCCAATTTATTGTCATAAGCTAAAAATAATTGGCATAAAAAAGAACACCTTTTTTCTTATTTTGCAACTTTATTCTTGCAATTCTGAATTTTTGTTTCTCATTACTAGTGAATGTCGTTTGTTCATTTGATACTACTTTCTTTTTGCATATTAAAAGAAAAAAATATTTAAATATTTTCTTATAACATTATGAGATTAAGTTGTCATTGACAAAATAATAAACACCATTTTCCCTTGTCGTATTGCAATTATATTTTCATTTTTTAATCATGTTGGGGACTCCATTGTCCTGGTTAAAACAATCTTTTCAACCTTTGTGCTTGGTGGAGGTAAACACTGAAGCGCTAACTTTGAAGTCAACTCCCCCCTGATGTCTTTTTGTGGCGTCTTTCCCAGGACAGCAAAACGAAAACATGGCCTCCCAAAGCGCCGTGGCAGCACTCGGCCCACGGCGGCACCGGTGGCGGCGGCCTGACCAATCCCGGCTCTTCCTTGTACCACCAGATGAATCTTGCCCCGCCTTCGTCGTCGCAGTGGAGCGACTCCCTGCAGATGCTGCAGTCGCCCGTGTGGTCGGCGGCTGGCGGCGGCGACTGCTCGCCTTCGGCCGGCGCCATCTCCTCGCCGTTCCCCTTCGGCCAGCAGCAGCAGCAGCAGCAGCTGAAAGGCATCAAGGCCTTCAAGTCGTTCCCCTTGAAACACGAGCACAGGTCGTCCTTCCTGCACCAGTACTGAGCCGGCCGGTCCACATGCTACATGCTAACAGTAATCACACTGGTTTGATCTACTCCACCTTTTCGACGTACTTCGACACACACTACTTTTCTACAAGCGCTATCAGGGCCACGCTGACAGGAAAAACGACCGCGATGAAGGCCGAATTACCCCACTTAAGTCAACTATCGAAAGAATGAACTCGAACTTTATGAGCAAAAAGTCCAAATTTCACAAAGAATGAAGTTAGAACTCGTAACTTACCGTTTTTCCTCATATTATGACTTTTTGCTTGCTACTTCATGACTATTCTTTTTTTTTCTCCTCATACGTTTACGACATTGTACATGCAACGTATGACTTTTTTCTTGTTAGCCACGTTTTTCTCTTTGACTCTTTGACAAGACATTTAAAAAAAAAAGACCAATTTCTCTTCACAACGATTCTTGCTGGTTACTTCAAAATTTTATTCTTGTAGCATCACTTTTTCTCGAAACATTACGACTATTCTTTTTCCAATAAAACTTTTTTCCACGACATTACGACATTTTTCCCCTCTTGTCACGTTGACAGTTTTGCTAATTACATTTTATTCTCATGACATGACAATTTTTTTTTCCTCGTACTGACTTTGTGTGCCACTGTCCAACATTGTTGTTGTTTGATTACCGGTACATTTTTTTTTTTTTTTTTCCCCAGAACACCACTTCGAATCTCAAGACTTTTTGCTCATAACGGAACGACTTTATTCTCATAACATGACAACTTTTTCACGTAACTTTGCAAAATTTATTTGCACATAACTGCGAGTTGTTTGTTTGTACTCTCATGGTTTTCCTCATAAAATCCAGCCTTTTTCTGCACATCACTTTCTTACTCTTTCCCACTCTTTGGTAATTTATTTTCCATTTCTGCGTGGCCCTGGTACAGAGACCTAATTCGACACCTCCCCACTTCTCCTGTCCTAACGACTTCAGTTACTCACTTCTTTTATTATTAATATTATTATGAAGCGGTCATTTCTCTGCCCTTTGGAGAGGGTGACACACACCCCTCCTTTCAGGCAAGAGCTGGAGACTGCTAAAAAAAAAAAACAACCTAGTGTGTGTACAGTGAGCTATAATTGCCAAATGTACAGCTAGCGTGTACATGGAACACCAATTTTCACTTTTCCTTACGTTTATAAAGAGGCTTTGAGCAGGCTCAGCACAGTTAACCCGCAAATACACTACATTTTTGTTGATGATATTGTTCCTCATCCGAGACACACAGAATCTAATGATATCTAATGATATTAAATGTGCCATTTTGCTGATGACAGCGCTTGTTCCCAACCAAAGCAGGAGACGGAACGGCAGTGCATTCGCTTGGCCCCTGCAAAATTAGACGCCCAAATCCTCGTTATATTTTCGCAACAGTATTAATAATTGTAGTTACATGCTATTTTCCACTTTCCCGATTTATGTGAAAAAAAAGAAGCACACACGTTGTCCATCTTAACCAAATATGCTCAGAAAAAAAAAAACAAGAAAATGTATTTGGTTTTTACGGCAAAAGGCCCGAATGTTATCATTCTTTTGTGATGTTTGCAGATGCCAACGTTGCCTGTATTTATGAAATGACACCAGAAAAAACTAACACACAAATGTTTACAGTTTTGCTGTACATACATACAAATATATATATAAATATATCTTTTTATAGTTAAATGTGCTTTGCACAATCAACATAGAGGTTCTGCTGTTTTTTTGGGAGGGGGCGGGGAGGTTTGTTTAACTCCCTTAAAAGCCTTTTTTCTTTTCTGAAGACAGACTTGTAACTGTTAGCTTATTATTACTATTTTCCCCCTGCTGTGTCAAACGGTTGAACTATACTAGCGACAAGGGAAAACCAAAACGATAACGGCAAAAGGATAACATGGTCATCTATAGGGGGCGGGGCTGCTTGGCTTATGTTGCTTCGTGTTCTTTTCAGCTGGTGACTAGAAATCTACCAGCAATGCAAAAAAAATTAAAAAAAAAAACAACTAGCAAGTTCATTGCTTCTGCTTTCTTTATTGTCCATCTTACAAAGTGACACCAAAGACAAGAAATTGAGTTTTCTATTTACTAAGGTAGTGTTAATGAATAGCTTGAAGAAATTAGTGCACAGGGCCTCACTGAAATTGTTGGATGTAGTTGTATTTTTTAAACATGAATAAAAAGCTGTAATATTGCCAAAACAAACAAAAAGTAGATACAACCATTTTTATTTGAGAAGTTGTATCCTTAGCATATTTTTTTGTGTAAGAAATCTTTTTCCAAAAAAAAAGTACCCTTTCATTTGAAATTCATAAATGTCGAAACATTTTCCCTCATTTGATTATGACTTTATTGTAAAATTACAACTTTTCTTTTAAAATTTCAAGTAAATGATCTTTTTTTTCCAGTGTGACCCAAACACTCCTTCATGTGCAAAAGTAAATCAAATGAGGCAGAATGGCGTGGCATGACATAAATAATAATAATAATAATAATACTAATGAAGAGGTATGGTCAGTATCAACTTCCTTCAATGGTGTTGGCGTTGGGCTGCGAGGAGGCTGTGCCTTGGTCGCACTGCAACAGAAAACAAGAAAAGGGAAGAAAAGTAGGGAGAGAACTGAAACTGCCGCTTCAAAACTTTACGTACATTTGCCTCAGTTGATGACGAAAACGTGGATGGAGGCACGTTGTCCGGCGGGCTGGCGTCGGCCAGAGTTGCCAGGTACACGATGTTACGGTGCAGGAATTGTTGATATCTGCGGACGCAAACCAAAAGACTTTTCTCCAGTTGATGCAAACGACAGTCATCATACTGTAAGTCACCAGCTATTGCATCATAATGTGAATGTTACTTAACAAAGTTCCCAACGATAACTTGTTTAAAAATTCACTGTTCCAAATTAAGTACAGGAGCGTTCCAAAACATGCCATCGGTTGGAAAGAACGGGCTGCCATTTTGTCCTGTACCGCCACCTGCTGTCCATTGAAATCGACGCAGCGCGCACAAGCTCAGTGAGCAAATATTACGGCTCACCTGTTCCGGGGTTGGTCACGTGACCATCCCAACGCGAGCCCGTGGCCACTGAGGTCAATTTCAGTCGACAGCAGGTGCAAGTATAGGACAAAATGGCAGCCCCCTGAGACGGATAAAAATAGGTGGATTTTTTTTCTGCTTCATTCATATTACAGAAACACAATGTTCATCAGAATACAGAGATGATTTTTATTATCAGGAATATTTTCACTTGACTTCAACTATGACAGTACCATGATTATGCTTCAGTTTCAGTGAAATATCGAAGGTTATGACAATCAAATATATTCTGGTAAGATGGCAACTTTTCCCCCCTCTAATATAACTTTATTCTTGTAGATGTTTTTACATTACATCATTTTTGTTCTGGAAAAAAAATCTGTAATGTGCTTGTGTTTGGAAATGTATTCTTCAACTATTTCTCCCGGAATACATTATTTACATAACTTTTTCCTGCAATATTACAACTTAATTCTCATAACATTTGCAACATTTCCCTGACATCACAAGTATGACTTTATTTTTAATTTTACAGCATGATTCTTGTAAAATGAGAACTCACACCCAGCAATAACAATTTTATTCTTGTCCTCTTATTTCCTCGCAATGTGACTTTATTATTAAATAAATTGACTGATTTATCAAAATAAATATAATTTCCCTGTAATATTACAACTTTGTTCAAATGAGTTGACCACCCCCCCCCACTATTGAGACTTTGTGACGTTTATTTTCTAATATTACAACCTTATCCTTTTAAAAGAATACGAATCAATGCTCAAATTGGAAGACTCAAATCAAACTTCATTTCCAACAATATACTTACTTAACGCACTCCACGGCGCGTCCCTTCTGCATGTACTCGACAATGCATCGTATTAACTGGTCGTTTTCGTCCAGTAGCTGGGGAGGGGGAGACATTTTTTAGAAAAGGCAATACAATGAGTCAAATGGTGGCCAAAGTGTGTTGTGTTGTTATCAGCGCAGCTAGCTACAACGCGGCTAAAATTAGCATAGCGGATTACTCTTGGGGGAAAAAACATATATGAATAAAATTAGTTCCGCCTTTTTATGATGGTTTACCCTCTGTATGGTTTCCTGGTTGATTTTGGCATCCCCGCGAAGTTTCTGGGGCACAAAAACGATCGACATTTTACTATTCCATCGAAGAACTCTTGCTACGTTTGTTCCTCGTCTTCTTCGTTTCTTCTACGAGTAGAAAACTTCCATTTGGAAGAGCTCACAGCGCCGTCTGTTGTACGACGGCGGTGGGACCAGACGGGTTTATAAATTCTCTCCGAGATGACAGCATAAAATCATTCACAAAAAAATAAAATCATTCATAACCTGATGGGTGTGTCATACGATAATTTTGTTTTTATTAGAACAAAACATTAGTTTATATAAAACAATATATCGTGTAGAGGGCGCCGCGATGGTCGCCTGGTTAGCACGCCTCACTGCAGAGGTCAGGGGTTCGATTCCAGGCTCCCATATCCCCAACTGTCCAAAGACGGCTGCGATAGGCCCCAGCACGCCCGCGACTTCTGTCGGAGAAGCAGCTCAGATAATGGTTGAATAGATGAATATGTCATAGAGATCATAAACAGGCCTGCCTTCTGTCCATGTGCAGAGAAATGTATAAGAACTTATTTTCCAAGTTATTACGATTCTATTTTGAAATTGCCCCCCCCGGCAATTGTAAACCCTTTATTTTTATTAGTATAGCGTAAAATTGCATTTTTTTTCATATTGCAACTTGGTTCTTTTAAAAAAATGACATTTAAAAGTGTTGGCAACTACTTTCAGTATTGATTTATCATGAGAGCAGTTTATTAAAGTTACAGCTGTAGTCTGATATTACCATTGTTGTAACACACACAAGGAATTGTGATCCAACTTTTATCACTAGGGAGGTAAAATGCTAAAATCTCACTGGACTGTAGACACAATGTCTTGCTGGAACATGTCGAGTTACTTTTCATATGAAATAAAGCACTGGGATATAACACTTTTGAACTCTTTATTTTGTTTTTAACTGTAAAAATTCCAATTTTTATGATGCTCTCAAGGAGGAAAAACAAAAATTCCTTGGTTTTCCCAAAAGTTCCAGAAGCTCGGAAGAAGTAACAAATTTACGAAAACTAAACAGTTGCAAATGGCTCTCTATGGATAATTCTCCCATCCGCCTCGGGCTGGTTTAAAATCGACGGATCGGTCATCATGCAGTGTCGGGCTCACGTGTGCAACAATAACTTATACATATACATTACTGTGTATTTGCTATTCATTATTTAATTTCCATTTATTATTTCATTTGTAACAAGTTCACCACCTCCTAGTGCTTTTTTTTTTTTTTTTTAATCAACACATCTGCCAGAAAACATCAACATTAAAGGGAGAGCTGTAGAAAAATCCCCGATCAACCACCCCTCCCACCTAGAAGGCACTCCCTAAATACAAAGTGGAGCCAAAATAATGAAAATACTAATCATTCATGTCACAGATCCAGTTGCTGTCCCTTTTTGTTTTAGAGAAAACAAAACAAAAAGCTTCACAGAAAAATATTGGAGAAGTCATTCTGAGTGAAAGTAAGGGTCTGACTGAGGAGATGGATGCAAACTTTTTTTGGCCGATGGCTAACTACTGAAAGCGCGCTCAGAAGAAGAAAAAAAACAGTTTATAGTGGACTTCTCAACAAGCACTTCATCATGCTGGATGTGCTCAAAATTTGGTTTCCTTCAGGCTGTTTCAACATGTCGCATCCAAAATTGAAGTAAGACAAAATGAAATGGAAGAATAAAGCTATCTAAGCACAGTCGGCGTACTGACCGACTCCACTTATTTACACCACTTGTAACTCAAAATGGAAGAAGAAAAAGAAAATGGAGGTGACACGCTGCTGCGTCTTCTTCCTTCCTAGCAAATGTCGGGACCCAAGAACATGTTTTGAAAGAGCCACGATTGGTCATCGTGCGAGTGGGGCGGGACTACGCCGCCACCTTGTTGTCTTTCTGAAACAAAAACAACAGGATCATACATATATACGTGATTTATAGGGGGGAAAAAAATTCACCTCCCCACCCAATAGAGTAATTCTACCGTATTATTTGCATATAAGAGAAGAGCCCCTCAAATAGAGATTTACCGCATATTCAAAGTCGGAGAACTCGCGGCCTCCTCTTCCGCCCCTGAAGCCGCCTCGGAAGCCGGGTGGCGCCCCTCGAGGCGGGCCGAAGGAGCCCCGGCCAGACGGCCTTCCCCGGCCCCCGCGGGGCGCCATGTAGCCTCTGCTGCCGCGGTACCCCCCTCGGCCGCGATGGTGCCTCAGCGGGATGCCGAATGTCTCGGCGTTCATCCGCCGCTCTTCTGCCCAGGTCGACCTCCGCTCTCTGCGATGCAAAACAACTAACACTTACCTTGAGAATCCTCCATCATGTGATTTACTAAAATACACAAAAGAACATTGAAGCAAAATGTAAATGTTTGAGCAAATACATTTTTTGAGTGTTTGTTATAAAAATAAAACAGAACATCTGAAGTCACATTTGGACATCTGGTAATATTAAAGCGGGGGGGGGGGTATTATAGTGACTAATAAATCATACTAATATGGATGAATCGTAAAATTCTGAACATTTTTGGTCATGACTCATTCTGTGAAAGTGTTTTTTTTTCTTATCTTACTACTGTCATACAACCACTTTTGGTAATATGACAAATCATTTTTATAAAATTACAGTTTTCAAATTATATTGTACTTTTTTGAGGTATGGCTTGTTATCTTTCAACTCCATCGTCCCCAAACCACTGCAGCTAGATTATAAAATGGTTTTAATATTATAGGATTAAAAAAATATATTTTTTCAAGTAAAATGAAGTAATTACTATCAGAGGTTATAAGGTTGTCTGTAGAGGAAAAAAAAAATGCTTTAGATGGCCACAGTTTGACTAATTTGAAGAAACCATTTTTATTTCCATTATTTCCGATGGGAAAAATGGTTTCTTAAAATCCTAGGTGGAGCAGCATTGCTTTAAAATTTATGCTAATGAAGAAGAAAAAAAAAAGACTGTAGAGGTTCCATTTTATTCTAACAATGACAATGTAGTAAATACTTGGAGTCGTTGCAGGACAGGTTGTCAAAGAAGGACTTGGTCTTGTCGTAGTAACAGGGAGGTATCGCTGCCTCCTCTTCCTCGACCGGTGCCTCCGCACCCGGATGTTCGGGGTCGGCCTCTTCGCCATTCGGCGTCTTTTCCACCTTGTCATCTGTGGTTCAAAAAAACAAAACAAAAAAGTTACAGCAGAAATGATGAGCGTGTGTTTGTTTTGAATGAAGTTGTGTATCACCTCTGAGCTTGAGCTTGCTTTGCAGTTCCTTGTCGATGTCGTCCTTGTGGAACTGAGCGTTGGCCGTCTCAAAGTCAAAGTCCTCCTCGAACTTCATCATCCCATCCCGGCGCACGTTCACTTTGCCTCGGCTGCGGCTGCTCCGCCCACGCCCGCGACGCACCGGCTGGGCGCCTCCCGACAGGTAGCACTGACCTGTCAATAAACATGTACGTAAGTTTCAATAAACAGAGAGGAAGTATATTGTGCATCATTGAAACAACCTCCTTGACGCCTGTTGGGGTCCCGGTTTTCAACAGCGGTATGCTCATGATCCCCGTGGGCCACTTTTGGCACGTCGGGGGCTAAACCACAGACAAAAAAACTTTCACAAGCTGAGGACAACCTTAAAGGATTCAAGTATAGTACAGTGAGTTCGGTTGTCACCTTTTCGCTGCTCCAGGAGATCCGGGGGCTTCTGGTGGCCAACGGAGGTCCCAGTGGGTCGAGGCGCCGGGGCTGCCGCCTGACTCCTTTGCCCGACCGGCGGCGCTGTGGCAGCCGAGGGGGCCTGCGTGGCCTGGTCCAGGGCGGAGCTCTTTGCAAGTGAGTCCAGCTGAGGACTGTTACGTCCTGAGCAAACAACATCATCAAGTTCTTTACGGCCTTCATTGAGGGGGTCAGTATGATGTGTTTTTGGTCTACCATCACTGCAGAAGTCATAATTACCGTAAATATTTGTACGCAATTAACTTAGGGATGATAAAAAATAGTCTATGATACGATTGGGCCACATTCGAGAAGAGCTTGATCAAACGCCAACTTTAAAAGTGACCAGAAATAGCATGTTCAAGACAGTACCTGACTCACTCGATTAAACAAATGCCACAGATGTGAATCGGTAGATACAAAATGTGCCTTTTGAGCTGCGTGCCAAAAGGTAAACATCATTTAGCATCTGCTTACCCCCGGGCGCGCCAAACTGCGGAGCGCCCATGGCCGCGCCACCGAACTGTCCATAGGTTTGCACCGGAGCCCTGCTGAAGGGAGCGTAGGCGCCAGCAGACTGGAATGACGCCGACGGGCCTACTGCGCTGCTGCTGCTCGATCCAAGTGATGACTGCAACCACAAGTACAAGGATCGGTAAACATAGCTCTTCAATCGTAATTCACATGGGTTAGTTACTAAATTGAATGCAGAAGCTTTCAAATGACTGGCACCCACATCCTGACTTTTTGGTACTTGTAATCAGCTTCACAGATGCCACGTATGCTCTGAGATGATGCAAGGTGCATAAAGAGGTCTCCCGTGTTGAGTGTGAGAGTCAAGGTAACAACAGCCACCTAAAGCTCTTCCATACTTCACGGTGTCATGTCTTGGTCATATTCATGTTCAAAATGGCAACGAGTGTTATCTGAATGATCATGCTTATTACAGTTTGTTCTTTTGGAGCCAAGGACAGGCCCACAGAAAGGCCCATTCCGCCTGATCTGAGATTACCACTTCAAACTGGGTTTACACCTAACGATCTTCGAAGTCCCAAAATCAGTCTTTTGATGTACAAGTAGCTTTACACTACCTGATCAAGATGACTTCAAGACGATTTAGCCGGTAATAGTAAGATAGGTGAGAGAGAGCCATAAATTGTAATGTGAGACATTATTTTTCTTATAAATTTTTTAATGTTTTGTGTAAAAAAAAAAAAAAAAAAAAAAAAAAGAAAAAGCTTAAACTTACCTAACACTGTCTCCTAATCGCCCTTTTGTTGTTGTAAGAGGCAGACCAGCGTTTGATCAGGAAAACTCTGGCTGATTTTGAAAATCTGATTGATTAATCAGTTGGGCCCTAAAACTGCGGACTCAAGTTACTTGTACAAGGCGGCCAAATCAGGAGATTATACAATTTGGCTTTATTCATAATAGTGGGTCACCCCCATAATAGTGCTTTCACAACAGCTGCAGCAAAGCGCTTAACACAACATTGAATATAAAATAATTTGGGAGACAAAAACTGTGGAAGCTATTTGTGAGAGTGCTTTCACAAAGTTTGCAGTCATCAATTTGATTGCTACCACCTGTTTTCGCAGCGAATGTCTGGCTGGATGCTGTCAAAATAGTTCACCTGAACGATGGCAGGGTCTTGAGGCAGGCTGCTGGTAGCTTTAGGAGGCTCGCATACGGTCAAGTCCTTAATGTCGCTGCCCCTGAAGATGATGTACTCAAACACCTCATCCCGGGGCGGGATGGGCCTTTCGGTGGGCCTATCCTCGGTTCCAAAAGAGCGAACTGTTTGGAGAAATCAGAATGGTCATTTTGATACCCCAAGTTGCAATTTTGGGGGTGAATATATAACACAAATGACATCATAAAGACTGGAAAAAGCTTTAAGGTTATTCAGTGTTACGTTTATGGCCTACGTTGATTTTAGTAGATTTTCTTCCAAAGTTGTTAAGAAGAACCCAGATTCTACTTTTAATATATCGGGAATGTTGAAGTCAATCATTTTGGACTTACCGCACACAAGCTAGCGCCAACATAACGTAAACAAAGGGCACGCGTTAGCTCCTGAGCTAGCTGGCTAACTGCGAGAAAACCGCTTTCATCATTGCTCGCGATTGTCACCAAAGTAGGTTATTTAGGTGACTTTTAGAAAGTAAAGCCACCCGTTCGGTGGCTGTGCTTACCTTTGGCGAGAGCTACGGTGGAGTTTTCAGTATCTATGGTGTACAAAATTCCTTCATAGCGAATCTCGGCCTTGGAGATGAGGCTAATTTTGCTACCGATATACGGCGTTCCTCCACCGCTCATTTTGACCCCCTTTCAATCGCTAACGCACGTGTTTGGCTGTTAAATGTTTCCCTCTTAACAGAGGCGTCGAAAAATAACAACGACCACGACTACGACTTCAAGACAATTTAACCGGTAAAAGTAATTTCGGAAGTGAGTTTCTGTCGTCCGTGCCCAAATTGATTTCTACGACATGACATGGCCGTGTTGGTTATTTTCAACCACCGCAAAGGATTGTGGGAGGGAAAGGCTGGCATTGCGTTCAAAGTTACACCCACCGCTTCTTCTCTTTTTCTCTTTACAAAGGAATTACAGTAATTTCCACACAATTATAAAAAAAACTTTGTTTGTTTTTCACGAATACTGCTTAGAAGAGATTGGAAGAAACATGCAAGATTAAAACTGTTTGCATTATTTTGTTTTCTCGCGAGATTCCACGGGATCCTTTCGCCTACTCCATATTGTGGACTCGCAAATGCAGAAATATGAGATTTGGTACGTTATGTTTTTTCGAATTATAAAACAAATTATTTTTGTGATTACGCACATAGATGGACTGTATTCATAATTTACGAAACTGAAAAGGAAGAAGAAATACGAGCATTTTGTCTCCCTCCTGAAAAACGTCTAATGACGTCAGACTCATTCCCACAATGCCTAGTAACACGCATGCGCACAGCAAAAAGAAAAAGACAGCAATCGGAGATCAGAGATGGCGGGCGCCTCCGACCCTCTGGAAGATATGCTCTCTTCCGAGGTGGACGAGAAGGCGGTGAGTGACTTGGTGGGCTCCCTGGAGTCTCAGCTGGCCGGTCAGAGCAACTCGGGGGGCAAAACCGACGAGAGCCGAGGCGCTGGCTCAGTTGCCCCCGCTAACCATCACTTGGGGAAAACGCTACCAGCTCCGGTGGGCTGCACAACACTAGATCAACAACAACAAGGGCGCCGTAATAAAACCGACCTGCACCAGGATTTAAACTCCACGGAAAAAACTGTCACACCTCCTTTCCAGAGCAGCACCCTTTCCTCCGGTGAGACTGCTGCAGCCGCCGCCAGTAACAGCGGGTCGCAATCACATGGCGCATCCATCACAACACTGCCCGCGTCCGGCGTGTCAACTTCCCCGCCGGCCAGCAGCATCAGCACCGCCGCTACCCCCGGTGGCCCCACGAAGGCTTCCCCGGACTCAGATGAGCCTCACGCGGACGCTTCAAAACGACGCCTCGCCAGCCCGCGACGGAGCGCCTCTGCTCGGATCAAGAGTTTGAACGGTGCCGCCGTAACCACCCGAGGAAACAGCAGTGGCAGCAGTCCCGCGGCGGGGGGCGACGACGCTTGCGATAGCCCCGCGGACTGCCGACCGGCGAGCACAGCAGCCATCAATACGTCGACGTTCACCCTTGCCAATGCCAGCCTACCTGCGGGTCAGTCGGCCATCGCCTTGGACCGGGGCACCCCCACAATCGCCTTGCACAGACTACCCAGTCACATCGTGGCCGGCATTGCCCAGAACGGGACCAGCGTGTCAGCAATGGCCCAGCAAGGTGCCCAGACGCCCCCTGTCACCTCGCCCCCATCTGCCTCCTCTTACTCCTCATCATCGTCCTCGCCACCTGCACAGGCGAACCACAGTAAAATCGCCCCGGACCCCGCAGAGGCTCCCAGCGAATGTCAGTCCAAAAGTGTCACCACGAGCTCTGTCATAAACACTGTTTCCTCCGTTGCCGTGACAACAACACCCACCTCCAGCTCGACCACAGTAGCTCAACCTTTAACCACAACTGCTACGACAACCACGACCACCACCACCACCACCATACCAGCTGCCTCAGTGACAACAAGCTGCATTGGCGTTCAGATTACATCAGTGACCACCACTATCAGCACGGTCCGACCCACCACCGCCGCCCCCGCGATCCCTGCCGCCCCCGCCATCCCCACTGCCCCCGCCATCCCCGCTGCAGCCTCACCAACCATGCAGACCCCTACCCGGCCCGGTTTGGCTGCACCTCAGAGGATCGTTGCACCCCAGCTCATTGTCAGACCACCCCAGCAGCAGACCACTATTCAGCTGCCACCTGGGTTCACCATTCCGTCTGGTAAGGCTTCCAGGTGCTTGACATGCTCCTTCTTCAATGTCCCAACATGGCCGACAGACGACACATTATTGAGGGAATTAACAAAGTACAAATTACTGTACCTTACATACTATTCTTTTTCTGTACACTCATGACGTGTTCCTGGTCTCTCATCAGCCAACACCAGGAGGACAATGAAAATTAATCATTTGGGAATAAGTGGTGAAAAACTAAAAAAAAAATAGTCCAATTAGATAGAAAGTAAGGTAAAAAAATGAATGAAAATTTTTGAAAAAATTATTTTTTTATTTTTATATTATTTTGCATTTAATTATTCCGTCTTACTGCTACATAAAGGCAGAAAAGACACTGGAAAACAAACTAAAATACAAAACTAATTCCAATGAAGTTGTGAGATTGGGTTAAGCATAAATAAAAGCAGAATACAAAAATTTGCAAATCATGTTCAACCTATATTTAATTTATTTCACTAAAAAGACAAAATATTTAATGTTCAAACTGATCATCTTTATTGTTTTTCGCAAATAATCATTAACTTTGAATTTTATGGTTGCAACACGTTCTAAAAAAAGCTGGGACAGGCGGCAAACTCCACACAGGAAGGCCGGAGCCGGAATCGAACCTTGCACTTCTGTACTGTGAGCCGGATGTGCTAACCATTTACAAACCGTGCCACCTAAGTTAATTATGATTTGCTAAAAACAAATAAAGTCGATGAATCACAATGGGGCCTCTGTAATGAAATTTAATTCAATTGGACCAAACCCTCAACTATTGTACAGCACACAATATGTGGATAATTTCACATTTGCTTTAGGAGTTTTGGATTCCCCCAGTTCAAAAATGAGATCTGCTATGGTTGCGAGTGCATACTGACTGCTGGTCACCCCCAATCCCACACCATGAATGGCTCTCCAGCTTGTCTCAGCCCCTCCACAATTTCCTCTAATTAATGTTCCCGTGCTTCCTCAGGCATGGTGCTGGTACGGACCGAGCTGGGCCAGCTGGTGTTGGTTCCTCAGCAGGCTTTGGCTCAAGCTCAGGCGCAGGCACAAGCGCAGGCACAGGGTCAGGCACAGGCCCAGAATAACATCTCTCCGCGACCTGCCACTCCCACTACCGGGACGTCCTTCAGAGTAAGCACTCCACAGGTAACAATCTTTACAACCATTTTCTCTCTCTCTCTCTCTCTCTCTCTCTCTCTCTCTCTCTCTCTCTCTCTCTCTCTCTCTCTCTGTCTCTCTCTCTCTCACACACACACACACACAGATATTACATTCATCTTGTTTACCATCACTGGTACCATTCTACCACAATTCACAATACCAAAAAATCCTCCAGATGCTCTCACCAAGGAAAAAAAAATCCTTCAGATGCTCTCAACATGCAAACTTAGACATTTCCGAAATCCAATGGTAGTGAGAAGACAAATCTGCCAGGCAACTGGATGAAATATGTGTCACGTGATTTGTGACAGGCCACATCACCACCAATAATACAATTTGGACTATAACCAAACTTTCGGTCAAAATACACCTCCAAGTTGACCAGAACTCTGGCGTTTGAACTACTGTTGTTGATGACATCACCAAATGTTGAGACCTCAGTTCAGCGAGCATCGCAGGACTCATATCTGGACGTGTATTTTCTCTTTTCTTTGTTCATTTTGTGCATTTTGCGGTTTTAGGATTGACTTCCCAGTTTCCACCGTTTCTGCTTCAGCTCCACCCTTTGCTGCTATACTGCAATTACAGTTAAAGCAGTCAAATAATACCCATTTTCATGCAGCCAACGGTTTTAAAGTCATAAAATTCGGAAAAGAAAAGTTCTACTTTTCTATGAGTTTTTCACTTTTAATGACTTTTTTGGGCACTTGAATGATCATAGACTGCTGAGACTGCTATTTTTACTTTTTAAATTTCAAAACATTGTTCCTGTACGGCTAATAAAGGTTTTACATTGGACATAGTAGGACCCTGGAACTGATGAATTCTATTGACATTATTTCCTAGGAGGAAATATTGTTCTGGTATTTGCCGTAGCCTGTCTGCCAGGTGATTACTCTGTGCGCAAGACTCTTCCGCCCTCTGATTGGGATATAATTATAGCAAATTAATCCTCATTGAATTTATTTTATCTGTAGATTAGACTGTGATTAAAAAGTGGATTACTATCACAGGGGAGCTTCGAGGGAGTGAGCCACTGAATTGATGGGGGTTTACCTATCACCTGTGGAGAAATCACTCATTGGAAAAAAAAAAGTTTATATTGGCAACATACTGAAGTTCCGTATATGTATTTTTATTGTATAGTATTACGTTTCACAATATTAACATTGCTAAACCGGACTATATTTAGAATAAGCAAGATACACCATTAAGTTTAATAGGGGGTGTTTATGTAGGGCTGTAAATCCTCTTTATTACTCAAAAGTTTCATTTCAATCAGTTTTTTTGAGGCCATTTCTATAAAGATCATTTAAATAATATTCTACTGTCAAGTCAGGCAGAAAGTTTGAACATATGACAAAAAAGTGTTTTGTTTTGTTTTTCTTTGTAAGACCGCAACTTCTACCTTTAATAGCTGTAAGCACACGCTATCGACACTAGAGAGCAGCATTTTACCGTCTTCACTTCATGTTTTGGAACTTTTTGAACTGAAGTGCTGGGCCTACATTGACATGTAATAATATTTATAAAGAAGATGAATGATGATGATTTTGATCATAGTGGTAATATTATGTTATTTAGCCACACGACACCAAGTCCCTGTAAACATATAGTTGAATTTATTAATGTAATAACAATAATAAAAATAATCATAATAATAATCAATGCTCCATCGTAATATGATTTACATAATATAATACTAGATTCATGCTTCTATGACAGTGTCAATTGAAACATAAATGGCTTTGGATATTAATCAAAATCAATACAACGGAAATTCTGACGATTATAAATGTTATTGTTTCCTTACAGACAGACTTTACATTTACTTTCACGCTTTTGAAAATGTTTAGAAAAATAATAAATTTTCAATTAATAATACTATTTTGAAAAGAAATGTTGGAGAAACAAATAATGTCTTAATAATACAAATCATAAAAATGACGATTAATTAAATTCTTATAAATGATAAATAATGAATGTGATTGATCCACCTTCTTCCCCTTGCACATTGCCACCGTGGTGATAATTTAACGGGCTGCCTTGTGCTCCCCTTTGCAGGAAAAGCATGAGCGGGGTCGGGAGTGGGGGGCGGGGGCGATTTGGGTGATGGGAATAAAAGGGTATGGTGTTTATTCCCAGAGCTGTCGGGCCTGTCAGTCTTCCCGCAACGCTTGAGGGGAGAAGAGGAAGGCGTCACAGTCTTCTTTCCTTCCTTCCTTCCATAACCTCCTCAATCATTCATCAGCCTGCTGCTTGATTATTTTAAAAGGCTCAACAGTGAGGTAGAAGGAGCGAGACGCGGCGACAGGGTGGCATCGCTGGCGGTGAGATGCACCCTGTGGCCTCAACCCCCACCACCTCCCCCTCCCATCAACCCTACTCATGCAAAATTCCCCGGGCTCTTTTGGATCCTGCTAAACTTTTAGTGTTGGGGAAAACAAACTCCCTGCTCTCTTACCATCCTACTTGTTCACGGTTCCTATTTGTACGCACATGCAGCAGATTCACGTATGCTCTCTGTCAAATGGTACATAGAGAGCGAGTTGATTGCAGGATGAAGTGTCAAAGTACACTCATCGGTTGCATAGCAAGAAGTGGCTTTGTACATATGACATGGCTGGAAAAGGCTGCCCTTTCCAAATGTAGGTTTTTATTAAACGTTACACAGATCTGATCGGATGGATCAGCTCGGCAGATGTTTTTTTTTTTTTTCCCCAAAATCAATGATTGGCTATAATATCATAATGTGCTGATCACGTTTTAAAGTGTGCTGTCAGGTCCAATCCTTTCTTTGCTTTGTAGTTCGTTAGGTTGCACAGAAAAATGCCAGTGAGATTACGAATGGGGTTGACTGTATATTGTTAACTGTCCACGGCTGATATCTCGATGTTTCTCCTCTTTCTCCCATTTTCTGTCCCTCTGCTTCTGATAGTCTCCAGCAACCTCTCAGACCACCAGGCAGTGTGCCCTGACCCCGGCCAAGGTGGCACCGTCTCCCTCTCCTGCTCCTTCCAGCCCTGCCCTCCAGACCACCTCCTCCTCCTCCTCCTCCTCTTCTTCCTCTACTTCTTCCTTCGTTACCTCCTGTCCCGCACTACGCCCAGTGAGAGAACTCTCCTTATATTTTTACTAGAAAAAAAAATAAGAATAAAAATTGTTTTTGCAGTTTGCCTCATTTGATAGATTTGCACCAAATTTGGCTCTGGGTTTGTTTCATTGCATTCACGGTCTCTAACAGGGGTGGGCAAATTTATTTATTCAAGGGCCATGTTAAATTTTTAAATGAACAATCATTCATGGATGAATAAAACAAAAATACAAAAAATATAAATAATAAAGATCCATCTTTCTGTACTTTCCCATTTTGTGCAACATTTTAGGAGAAGATAAGGTACTGTTTTTTTTTGGGGGGGGGGGTTGTACAAAGTATTAACATCAGGGTGCTAATAATTGTGGCTCACGTTATTTGATGTGGTGGCCCGATTGCCCGGTTGCACTGTGGTTGACCTCACAGTGCAGAGGTGCAGGGTTCGATTCTGGCTTTGGCCTTCCTGTGTGGAGTTTGCATGCTCTCCCCGTGCCTGCGTCCGTTTTTTCCGGGTACTCCAGTTTTCTCCTGGCAACTGGTTCAGGGTGTCCCCCCCTACTGCCCGAAGACAGCAGGGATAGGCTCCAGCACCCCCTGCGACCCTTGTCGTGGATCAGAAAATGGATGGATGGATTGATTATTTCATGTAAAAGAATTATTTCTTAATGTGGGATTTCTTTCTCACAAAATAAATACACTTGAATTAAAGGTTGGCTTTTCCTCTTTTTAAAAAAATGGGTCCTATATTATTTAGAAAAAAAAGAATTAATTAGAAGATAAACAGCACATCTTAAACAAGGCTGCCAATAATTATGGAGGTTAGTGTAGTTGCTTGGTATCAAGATGCCGCCAGATGGCGCCAAAGTAATACTTTGGTATTAGACATGACTTTGGCCTGAGCGCAAAACCAGCAAATAGGTGAGTTTGTCCAGTATTTCGTACTGGCTATGTTCCAACCAAAAATCTGAATTCATAAATCCCGAACCATGACTATGTGGTGGTAACTGTTCTGATTGCTTCTTTTTTTTTTTTTTAAATCTTACAGCACACTAATTTAATGCAAAACACTTTTGGACCACCATCTGTGGCCCGTGGACCCCACTATTGAGAAGCACTGTGTTAAGTGATGTCCAAGAAGTCGCCGTACCAGATGTGACAGGAGTGCTGTGGCGCCCGCCTCCACTTCTCTGTGGCCTTGCTGCAAGCCAGGCGTCACGTCCTATTTATCTCCTCTTTCTTGTCTCTTTGCAGAAGGGCCCCGTGGCGCCGGCCGTGGCGGTGACGGCTCCGCAGCAGACCCCTGTGGTTTCCACACCCCAGGCCCTGCCGGCCCAGGCTGCCTCACAACCCCCGCAGACGACGGGCATCGCCGTGACCCCTGGAGCTCCTGTCGTGTCCCAGGTTCTCTCACTGCATAATCATAAAATAAAACCGATATTTCAAATCTTATATCAATGCAAAAATATGCTTTTTCTTTATCTGCTAAGTCGCTTTTGTGTGCCCCCTGTTGTAAGACATTGATGGGGGTTTTTGAGGCTACCTATGTTTACCTGTCACATTTTATTTGTTGATTATTTGGCCTAAACTAAGTAATATAGTCCTCATTTCGTGGTTAAATTTTCAGGCTCTAGTGGCAGATAATTCTGCTTTAATCAAGTCACATATTACCCATTCCCCCTCACTCCGCCTTTTTTTGGGTCAAAATGTATTTTTCAGTTTTGTAAATATTTTGCTTCAATTTGTGCTTCAATTAAGTAATTTATTCCTGATTTCATTGCTCCCCACCGCCCCCCTTATTTCTTTCTCAGCCCATTTTTTTGCAGTGCTGTCTCACTTTCTCTTTTTCTCCTTCTGTCTCTCTGGTGTGAGTGCTGTCACAGCTGCCAGCAGGCTGGCTGTGTCACAATGCCCCCCAAACCCCTCTTGCAGCTGGCCGCACACAAAGGGTCTCACACGTGCCCACGCACGTTTGCATTCGTACATTCACACGAGGAAAGCCAACCCAAGGACATGTTTTAGCACACACACATACACACACACGTAGACACACACGTACACACACACACACACACACACACACACACACACACACCCACACACACACACACACAGCCACATATGGATGACAAACAGATGCGTGTCAGAAAAACATGGGAGCAGAAACAGAGAGCAAGACGTAGCGTGACGTAACTGCAAAAGATTACATACGACAACATAGCATGGTATAACTTAGTGTTACGTAGCATGACATTACAACACAGCAAACGTTGCGAAAGATAACATACAAGAACTTAGAATAGCATTACACAGTATATTATCAAAACAGAGGAAACTTAGCGAAACATACAACAGAGCAAAAATAGCAAAATGGAGTGTAGCGTAGCATAACAGCATCGCGTGACATAACATAGCATAGCATAGTATTGCATAACAATAAAACGTAACAAAACATAACACAACATAAAACAGCGGGCAAGCACAACCCACTGTTTTATCTTTATGTTTATATAACAAGAAAGTCCAATTATTGGGGATAGTCCTAAAGCTAGACACATTTTAAGCTGCATATACACACTAGTTATCGACCTGGACAATTTACTTGACAAACACTAAAAGGTGACATTTTATGAGTGTCTTTTCATCCTTTGGTGCCCTTCAAATCATGTTGTCGTCTCCTTTTGTTGTATCTCTTGCGACAGGAAATGCAGGAAAACGTGAAAAAGTGTAAAAACTTCCTAGCCACGCTCATCAAGCTGGCATCACACAACTCCCCGTCGCCTGAAACCTCCAAGAACGTCAAAGCTCTTGTGCAAGACCTGCTGGTGAGAATCTCCCACATACTGTATTGGCATTTCACAAATTCGCATATTCATGTTTTGTTTTCTAGGGGAACCTGTCCTTAGGTATCCGCTGAAAAACTCAACTCTTTTTGGAGGACGGGGGGCGTTGTGCTCTTTCTGAAATTGCCTTCAGATGCATCACGGCACTGTCTAATTAGGATAGTAGTACAGTAATAGCGGCAAAGTCCTCCTGCAACTAGTGCCCCACCAAAAAAGTTATTGACACCCCTTGAAGTGGTTTACAATTTTCTATTTTAATAGTTTAAACCAGTGTATCACCATAATGAACAACATTCAAATATGATAGTGTAGTAGGACCTATTGTTCATCAAAAAAGCGCCAGAGGTTTTATTCATAAACATTTTTGGTATTATTTCAAGACACTGTAAAATTACCAAAAAGTTGAGCATTATCAGTACACTAGAAGACAGAAAAATAAAAACAACCACTGAATGATTCGATTAACCTGTAATGCACAATTAAAATTTTACCAATAGAAATGTTTGAAAACCAACAGATCTTAAAGATTGAATGCAAATATATTGTGCTTTAAAGTAAAATACAACTTTACTAAACAAATGTGCTGTGTATGCCGGTGTGGATTAATAAAAAAGTTGAAGCCACTGTTACATTTTGTACAATTCAGATATTCAATTCATTGATTCTTGGACACAGTACTAGTTAGCCCATGTACACTTTGAGAATTACGAGCGTAAACCCTTCCCACCTAAATTCCACACTATGGTGCTAAAGTCCTGTCGTGTCTAATCGAAAAGCAGTGCTATTATCCTGTTAGACTGAGCTTTGGCTCCATCTTGTGGCATTTTACAGCATTTCAGAACGAGCACAAAAAAATGTATATACCGGAGTTTTTTATCTGCGGGAATTCAATCCCGCCAACGTTGCGAGTAACAAACTGTGAATAGACAGAGGCTGTGGGGGGGGGGGGGCACGATACTGTAATTGGTCCAAGAAAGTATGTTTGTAGTTTAAATTGACCCAATTATTCTGAGGTTTTGTTTTTTTTTTTCAATTTCTGACAGGGTTCCACCACTGAGCTATATGCGCTGAACCCTTCTGTGCTGTAGAGGGCGCCATAAAACGCCTTTTTACTTTCTGACCTCTTTTTTATTTTATATTTTTTAATGTATTTGATAATTAGTAAGAAGTGCCTCCCTGGAAGGACAGAATGAATGTTGTTCATTATTTTTGTTCTTATCTGTGTGATGTTAAAAAAAATTAGGATGCCAAAATTGAGCCGGAGGAGTTCACGAGCCGGCTGCAGACGGAGCTCAAGTCGTCACCACAGCCTTACCTGGTACCCTTCCTTAAGGTGGGACCCTGACTAATACTGATTCTGCACTACATTACAGTGGATTATCAAAAGTCGACACACTCCTGATAAAATGTGGAGATTTTGTGATGATAAATCATTTCGAAATGTTTTCCACCATTAAGGTGATCTAAAACTTGGACCACTCAATTAAGTTGATGACTGGAGAATTAAAGACGACATCAACAACAGAGATGAGGTGGTTGCGCAAGTCGGCACTGCCGCTTGTAATTGCTTTGTTCAGAATCAACCCATTTTCATATTAAATGGGAGTCAGCACACACCTGCCACCATTTGCAGACCCTCCAAGGATTTTTCTTGATAAATACATTAAATATGTTGAAAGGGAAATGCTGAAAACATGTTCCAATATTTCGGCGCCTCGCCCTGTGATGTTGTATGTTGGTCCCCATATCACAGAAACACTAATTCAGAAAGTTGACTCTTTTTTAAACTCAATGCTGTTTATTTTTTAGCCTGCAGCTGACTACAGACATTTTAGCACATACCGAAGGTTTTGTTTCTTGTCCTTTCAGCAGGCACGCCCACACAGTCCGAAAGCTGGAAGGCGGGCTCCATTTTTCAAGATTCGGGAGCTTTATTTATATCGTTGGTGATATTTTTTTATTCAATCCAATTTGACTGGCGTAAAAATAGTCTTCACTCTGTTGTGTCAAATCTCCAAGACGTTTTTTTATTGTTCCTTGAAAGTATCTGCTTTCTCAAAGAAGCCTGAAGGCTTTTTGCTAAAACCGATTGGTATTTGAAACTTCAATAATTCCCTCCACCTTGACAATGGCTCCAGTTCCAGCTGAAGAAAAACAGCTCCAAGCATGATGTTGCCACCACGATGCTTTACTGTATGGATGGTGTTTTTCTGATGAAACAAAGGTTAAACTTTAAGGCCATGATTCGATATTGAGCGTGAACACACACACACAAAACAAAACAAAAAACCACCATACCTACAGAGAAGCATGATGGCGGCAATCAACAAAGTTGTTTGATGACCATGTCTGTTTCCATTCGTAGGTATGGAAAAGCCTTATGCACTATTTTAATATATCTGTAATTTATATTTGATATGATATGACATATTAATTTATCCCAAATTATTTTGCGTACCCCTGAGAGACTCGGGACTTCAAATTCAGTACAACTGATCCCCCAGAGAGAAGTACCTTTAATCACCTGCCAACCTGGTTCCTCTTTTCCTCAACTTGAACACCCTGAAGTAACATTCCCTTTACGCTACGGCTACTAATGGCTAAACCTTACGCACACACGCACGCACGGACACACGCACATAGCCCTCTGGCCTGATTTTTGACTGTGTGTGACAGTGGGCCCGCCAGCCGTGCCTGCCAGTCGCCAGCAGGTTTCTCCAGCCAAGCATGATGAGCGCCACATCAAGGGAGCCGAGCGCCCGATCCGGCTACAAACACATGTTGTCATGCAATGTTAAGTTGCTGGCGTCCAAAATTTTGCCTGAAAATACTAGTTTCTTTGCGCGCGCGTGTGTGTGTGTGCGCGTGTGTGTGTGTGTGTGTGTGTGTGTGTGTGTGTGTGTGTGTGTATACCCCCCAAAAAGATACCATAACATAGCAACGGAGTACAACTAATACACAGATCGCAACAAAACATAACATAATGTAACTTGTAACGGAATACAATAACATAGCACAGCGTAACGTAACATCACACAACTGTACTATGTAATAAAACATTATGAAACAAAAATTACAATAACAAGATGACATAATTTGAGATAACACTACACCACTCAACGTAACAAAGCTCAATATATGTATATTAAAAAAAACGAAAAAACATTACTACACATCAAATCTAAAGTGGAAAATATCAACACTACACAAAGATAGATACTTTCTTAAATTTGAGGGGAGTTAAGTCAGGTGAATTTAAGTGAAACAGAACATAATCCAACGCCACCTAAAACAAGTCACAAATGGCTGATGGTGCATTCATGCATGCATGCAGGGAAGTATCCTTATGTCTCCCAGTTTTTGCTTAGTTTTGTGTACTGAAATCTATTTTGCTCTTGTCCGCCCGTCTACAGAAGAGCCTCCCGGCCCTGCGGCTGTCTTTGCTTAACAGTCAGCAGTCCTTGACCCAGCCACCGCAGCAGGGCATCAAACCAGCAGTGCCCATTGTGAGCGGGCCGGCCGTCCACGTACGTCCCCCGAACAGCGTCGGGGCCACGGGTACCAGCGTGCTGCCCCATGGGACGATGGGCCATGCAGCCGCCGCGGTATGTGCACGCACATAAAATATAACTGTACAGGCTATGGTGCAGGCAACATTCACTCAAAATGAAGTTGAATGAGAAAAACATGCAGTGTGCCGACATGTGCTTATTACCATATTTTTCAGAGCATACCTTCATTCTAGGGTATAAGTCACACAAGTAAAAAAAAAAAATAAAAAGCATCATGAAGAAGAAAAAAAATGTCTAAGTCGCTCCGGTGTATCGATCAAAAATCGAGACAAAGAACCAGTTGGGTGTAACTTTTCACGACAAAAAAGTTTGTCTTTTAAGTTTAAAATGGCTTACTTTAATTATATATGCCGCCTCGCATTGTGGTGAGAGGTAGAATCCTGGTTAGTAATAAATATTTTTTGTGGTGTAAGAAAGCAGCATGCTAAATTAGCGATGTGTCACACATTGGTTGTCATGACTACTGCTACTTCTGTTTCCATTTCTTCTACTTTTGGTTGGTGGTTGGCAATTGCTTTTGGTGCACTACCGCCGCCTACTGTAATGTGCGATAAAGTAAATGCATGACCACTACGCCTTCTTATTCTGCTTCTTCTATCTCTGCTTCTTCTTCCATTTCTTCTTCCATCTCTTTTTCTTTGTTATTAGATGTGGGTGCGTGCTTTTTTTGCATTACTGCCACCTTCTGGCCATTGGCGGTGATGCATCAAATGTTTTCGACAACCGCAAAAAGAAAGTCAACATAGTTGAGGAGCGGAGATTTTGGGCTCCAGTCGAGCACGTGTCAGGACTGGCCAAGCTATGAAAATATAGTTAAAAATAAACACAGTACTGTTTTTGTCTTATTTGTAATTTTAAAATGTTCAAAATACAGGATGGACAGCAATAGAAAATGGATACATTGAATGTATTTTTTTTATGTTATTGATTATCAATTTTTTTTAAACTTAGACCTTTACACATTTAGGCGTTTTTACATATTTCATCTCTCATTTCTCTCATTCAAGCCTGAAAAGAAGTTTCATTGCTGCTAAAAATCCGGATGGATTTTTAGCACGAACGTGCTCCTAATAATGGAAATGTAAATTATTTCCTTGTGTACACAAGAATTTTTTTTAAAAAGTACCGTCAAAGTTGTAAAAAAAAAATGAAAGTAAAAGAAAGATATTTTGAAAGGCAAGTCAAAATGTGAACATGAATATGGAAATCAGCCTGGCTCTGTAGAATCCCCGCCAAGGCTCTAAAATGTCTACATCTAATCACCGTTGAGATGTCCACAACATCTCTAGTGGTGTAAAAGTGCATTGCGGCCAATTTTCATCGACTGCGCCCAAGGTGCAGTTGAAGCTTTTAGCACCTGCAGTGTCGAGCCAAGTCAACCGGCAAAGTTGGAAACTTCATTCAACCCACAGCTGTATTGCATTAACATGGATTTCTGTGTGTGTGTGTGTGTGTGTGTGTGTGTGTGTGTGTGTGTGTGTGTGTGTGTGTGTGTGTGTGTGTGTGTGTGCGCGCACGCTCATTATGCAATTGGAAATGTTGGGGTGCAAGGGGGGCGGCCAAGTGAGGTCAGACTGGTCTGGGCTGAGCCAGGGGCTTCTCTTCTGTCTCTCTCCAATTTTACGATCTCTACACACACACACACACACACACACACACACACACACACACACACACACACACACACACACACACACACTTGGGCTGTATCTTCTCCGAAATCAGTTGACCATCTTCCTCCTTCCCTCCATTAAGCGGCGGAGGGTGAAGCGAGGTAACTAGGTCAGCCCCAGGTCAATTTTAAAGCAATGTGGCGGCCGCAGTCCATGTCCAGAACATGCCTCTGGTCTCTCTCAAAGGTTGATCAATAAATCGCTGTCTCTCTCTCTCTCTCTCTCTCTCTCTCTCTCTCTCTCTCTCTCTCTCTCTCTCTCTCTGTCTGTCTGTCTCTCTTTCTCTCTCTCTCACGTGCCATACGCACCACTCCACAACACAAATACACAGCATAAGTTATCGCACAAAACAGCAAATGATCGCCTCTAGCACTCCAGCGGTTGGTTGAATTAGGCCAAAAATTGCGAGCACTCTCTCTCTCTCTCTCTCTCTCTCTCTCTCTCTCTCTCTCTCTCTCTCTCTCTCTCTATCCCTCTCTCGCTCTCTTTTTCTCTCCCTCTCGAGGTACTTGGCTTGGAGTCAGTTCAGTACATACGGTGCACAAAACAGATTTTACTTCCCGGTAATTTATTATTTTGAGTTTAAGTATTACGTGTAAGATTGGAAAAACTAAATACCCAAGGAATTGGTTCACACACTCTTAATCTCCTCTCTTCCCAAAAGTTGAACAATTAACAAAAAAAAAAGTAAAATCAAAGTCAAATGGGAAAACCACACCGTGTTCTGCCTCCCTTGAACCTCTGCCAAGGCAGGTTTTAAATTTTTGTTAATTGTTCATTTTTTTTATAATAAAACCTTCCATGAACTATACAGGCAATGCTTTTTTTTCAATTATTTTCATGTGTAAAAGTAAATTAAATGCTGCTTATGGTAACATTATCAATCATGTATTTATAATTATTTTTTTAAGAGCAAGTAAAAACAAAAGCAACAAGAAAAACATATTTCACCAGGCTGTTCACATTAATGTCTTTATACATATATAAACAATTATAAAATATAAAAAAAAATATAATATTAAAACAAGTGATAAATGTAAAACATTTTTGTCCTTTTTTTCTACAGTTTAATACACAATGTAATATAAATAGAACCACTGACTCTATTCTTTATTGATGGGAAAAATTGTTGCTGTCTCTTTGGGATGTGGCGTCAAAAATTCCTGAGTGACCTGCAAAAATAGAACACGTACACAATAAAATCAAGCAAACCAATTGAATTCAATCAAAAAATGGAAAGTAAAAACAAATAAATGAATAAATAACTTTCCAAATTACTCACTAAAATAAAAATTCGAACTTTTCACTTCTACATAAACTTTCACTTTTGACCTGTTGAAGGATTCTTTTTAAAGGAGTCAAAAGTCAACTTCTTTGTCACGTTTTAAAAGTGAAACATAATCAATAAATAACCTCTAGGGCCGTTCCCTTTACATCATTTCTATTATTTATTCATTCAACGACATAAATCAAATGTTAAACATGCTGGAGGTGCACTGAAGAAGGAAATAGGTATACATGGTTTCAAACTTAAAAGTGTGTGGGGGTGGGGGGGGGGTAGTTGCTTGACTCTTATTGCCAAACTTTGTACCTGAGTTGTTGTTTTTGCTCTTGTAAGTGTGTCGCTGGCTGGCCGGAGGTCATATGCTTTCTGTGCTGAATGAATTCCTTGCCCACGGTACATCTCTGGGAAAAATGGCCGATGCTTTGTCGTCCTGTTTTATTTATTTATTTTTTCATATTTTTTCCCCCCTCTCCTTTCACCCCTTGAACTGTAATATAGCACGTGTCGTGTCAGAGAATGGAAAACAAGGCAAAAAAAAAAAAAATTGCAGTGAGAAGCAAAGTACTAAGGAATGGATGGCTGAGCCTGAGGCCTAACCCGTAGCATTACACGGGAAGGAAGTGTCTCTTAACAGCCTGCCATTGCCAATGCCCGCCTGCCTTCCTCTCCTCTTTCTTCTTCGGTATTTTTTTTTTTTTTCTTACTGCCATCTTGATTTCTTGTTATCCCGGCGTTATCTTTTCTGGAGATGCATGCCAATGTAGGTCGCTTGTGCACAAATCATCAATCTGCACACCCATAGACTTTCCAGGATTTAACAAACGACCATCTTGACAACCAGCCGAGCAACTAACCAAACCAAGCTGACAATCAGCTAACCACTAAACAAACAACCAACTATCAAACCCACTGGACAACTAACTAGCCAACCAACTGGCCAACCAAACTGAAGACAAACTGACCAACCACTGAACAAAGAAAGGTGGTGTTGAAACATGGCAGCCTCTTCTCGGGGAGGTGGGCTCCATGTTATATAATAAGTGATTAGTTTACCTCCAATTACATAAAACAAATTACATTGATGTGATCGAACATATTTTTGTGCATATTATTGCATACCATACAGACATGGTAATATATACAAATTAAATTCATCTGGAAAGGTTATTTTAGATTTATCCTGAAATTTCAGGCCAAAAACCAATTTCCCAAAATCTTTTGATAGGTGTATTAATTGCTCTCAAGAATTTTGGTCAAATTAAGAATGTTGCACTTTCAGAGTTTCTACTGTATTTTATGACGCTGTAGCTCTGTTTTTGACCATTCTGAACAAACTGAATGCATCCCTTATCATCTCCTCCCAGGGTATGAAGACCACAGGCCCCGTGGGCGGACAAGTCCGAATGCCTGTGATGATCACACAGTCCATGAGAGCTCAAGGTGAGACATCTGCTTCGCTTATCAAACTTATCGTCTCGATGGTTTTAGAGCTCCGGCGGTCTCGTTTTGACATTCTTGCTAAGCCTCCATGTTGTGACTCAAAGCTGACCCGACGCTGTGGCGGAGGAGGCTAAACGGGCCATTTAGCCATTAGTGAAGCGTCCTCTTGGTGGGCTTGCGGGATGTGTAACGGGTGGGAAGCATAGCGAGAAAACAGGTGCTTTTTTTTTTTTTTTTTGCTTCCCTCCTCCGTCTGTCTGCTTATAAAGCCTCTGCTTACTCGCACTGATTCGCACACACACACGTTTCCTATAGAAGCCCGCTAACATCGCCTCAGCACTCTCCAAAAAAGAGATAGCTGAGTTCTCTCAGTAACAAGCGCACTTGTTTACCTATTTTTCACATTTGTGTGTCTATGTGTGTGTATGTGTATGTAATCAGGGGTGCATCCAAATTTGATCTACCACGTACAAGATGGCCCGCAGAAAAAGGATCATAGGTCGTTTTACGCCCGCAAATTGGAATGCGGGCTCCGTTCTAAAAATACTTTTTCTGCGCCCTTCGGCGAAGAACATGCCTGTTAATATCAAGTTTGAATTCACTCTGGCAGTCATTGTGCCTTGCTGGGGAGGAGGAGGAAAGGGGGGGGGAAAGTGTCTCGGAGGTGTAGCATGCGGTCTGAAAGTGTGAAGAGAACCGGTTCAAGTTTTCAAGTGCGGTCATGTAATGCAAACCTGCACCAGCCTGGAGAGCGTAAGCAGGCTGACCAACCGATAATATGATGGATGTAAACGAAGGGACAACAACAAAACATGTATGCCCGGTTAAGCACGCCATGTTGCTGTGCCTTCGCTGTCCATTATTGTACTCCTCATGTTGCAATTTGAAAATAAAACAAAATCAACCATTAACTCAATGTATACAATCTGTATCAGGTCCAGATGGCACAGCTTTGCAGGGTCTTCACTCAGCCCCCACCCTCACTCAAGAAAGAAATACTCTTTTATTTCAGATGAATTAAATTGAAATGCATTTTATTTTGTTTTACCAGGTGGAGTCATAATTTCAATCCTTTATACATCTGCAAAACAAAATAAAGTCACTCTATTTTTTATTTTTCATGAAATATAAGAAAACTTATAAGCTGAAATAACGTTATTTTATCAGGGCCATTCACATTTCACATCCCATCACACAATTGTGTAGCCCTTTCAATCTGATGTAAAAAAAAATCCAATAAATGTACTCAATTTTATTGTCATGAAATAAAATGGAACACTTTTTTATTTTTAATCATATATGGCTGTAATTTCAAGAACTAAAAATGAGTTGCCAGGATCATTTTTCAGTGTTTTCTCACCTCCTTTGAACAGGCACAATGGGGAAGGTGGGCACCTTCCAAGCAGGGAGGAGTACGGTGGGCTTGGCTGTCCAGATCTCCGGCAACCAAAAAAACAAGCTCAACGACCCCGGAGGAGGCTCTTTCAGGTATGCTCATCCCCCTTTACCAACGATCCTGGCTCGATCATTCCTCGTACTCTCCGCATGAGGGCAGCATTTCCCCTAAAATGCCTTTGGAAGCAGGACTACAGGCAACAACACTCTAAGCACAAAGTCTGGGAGTGTTTGTGCCACCTGGTTACACACATACACGCACACACACTTTTAATTTCGGAATAACATAATTGTATCCAGATGGGTAAAATTTATGGTAGCAGCAAACAACCCCCCCCCCCAAAAAAAAAGAAATCCCGGGCCATGGTCTCACAGAATGAAAAAAGGTTCATGACTGTCCACATGTTGGCTTTATGTGCTATTGCTGCGTGTATCTATCCTGAGAGGCAAAGAATGTGTTGTTACATTTGTTTAAGGGCTTCGTGACTGACCGGGACCAGGGCGAGGCTTGTCTAGGTCGCATGGGCCAATGGGTTCGTGGTAATACCCCGGCCTCCCGTGTCCCCGGGGCAAAGGCAGTGCCCTGGAGCCCTGATTGATAAACCGATAAATCTTTAGCTGCGTTGGTAATTAAGCTGTCAGGCGGTGCTTGTTACATGACAACCATGTTGACCCCACCTACCCCCTGTGGTGATCACCATGGGCACACACACACACACACACACACACACACACACACACTGAATACACACACAAAGACAAGTTGTTCCGGGAGCAAGTCTTATGCAAAGCGCAGTATAACTGCGCTCATGGGTGGAGTTTTCTTTCTTTTCGTATTTTGCTCGACTTTGTGCCAGTAGAATTGGGCGCAGCCCATATAGTCACGGCGGTGCTATGAAAAATATTTTTAAGATGATAATGATTAGAATTCATTCAATTAATTGATTTCTACAATGATTCAAAGTGATTGTCCCACGCTGGTGTCATATTTATGGATGAAATCCGATGAGGTCTACCACACACGTCCATGAATCTGCGTTGAGGAAATACATTAAAATTGCGGGAGGCCATCTGTGCTTCGATTTTAACTTGCTTTTTGCGGGTCTAAAATCTAGTCTACTTTGTCGAACCAAACTTGCGGATGTGATGGGCGCCGCAGGAACGCCCAGTGAAGCGTAGCACATATACTAAATTCACAATCATGCTGAACAAGACCATTGCCCCGGCACAAAAATGACGATGCGCCCGTTTTAATGCCGAGCGCAGACTTTTTGCCTGTTGCCAAATAAACAGGTATGTTGGGGGCGAGGCGGCTTCATGCGCCGGCACGCCCAGACAGGTGCCACACGGCCCCAAACAAACTCGACAAGACGTGCGCTGGCACGAAAATGAAGTTAGGTCCGTTTTTTTAATTTCATATTTGTTTATTTATTTATTTATTTGTTTGTTTGTTTTTTAATCTGCATACTCCCCATGTGAGCACTTAAGAGACACCTCTGAGATAATAATGTATATTTCATTTTGGTACATTATTATAACTGTATTGATTTGATATTGAAATAAAAATTGAAGCAAGACACATTTTAATGATCAAGATTACTATTTTTTTCCTCATCTTTTTTTGTCTGCGCATATGATGTAATGCAACAACTGGATTACATGTTTCGGACCCCCTCGGAAAAGAGATCAAGCATCTCAAGGGGTTATTTTTATTTATTTATGTATTTTTTCCATCTAGTTTTGCTTATCCGCGGGCACTGCGGTAGCATTTCCGAGTGTTGCGTTTGCTCATGTTGTCTTGTACAGTTTTTGTTGTTTGCTGTCCTTTCGTATCGCTTGAGGCCACCAATGTGTCTCGACTTAGCCTGGCGCCACGTGGGCAGATTTGTTATGAACACGCAACCCGGTGTCACAACCCGACCCATGTTACCTTTAAGAGGAGACATATTATGGCAGGGCCGGCTAATTAATTGAAATTTCATTGTTATTCGGTTTTAGGCTTTTCACCATCATATAAGCGTTATAATTGAAGAAAAACGATGAATGTGTTGAATGGTGCGGTGCGTTTGCAAGTTCCTGTGTTGTGAAAGCACCCTGAGTGAACCGTGTTGCTCGCAGCGTGTGACGTAGGAATGGAATACCTGCCCTCCCTGAGCGCCTGCTTTTTCATGACTGTTTGAAGACACCCCAGTTGCGGTCGACGGTAAAACAAAGCACAATATTCCATCAAATAACAAATATTCAAACAAAAACACTGTAGTGACCCTACCACCCCTCTCCCGCGACTGCAGGGCCACTGCTAAGGCTTGTGTTGATTACCATGACAACCAGCGGCGGAGGCTGCGATTGCTAGCGCAGAGTATGAAGGAAAAAAGCGCATGTCATAAAGCTTGATCGATTTTATAACCGTTAACCTTGTTTTTGTTTTTTATCCTGCTAATCTTGTCTGACTTTATAGATTAACATATTTATGTTTTTCCTTTCTTTTTTCCCCCTTATTAATCTCCGTATCTCGCTCCTGAGTCGGCCCTATGTGGAATAATGAACTCTCTTTGAGGGGTTGCTTTAATTTCTCTGAGTGTTTTGGCAATTGCCAGGGCTCCAAATCAAACGCCCGAGACAGGTCTGACATTAAAAGGAGGCAACGAGATATGAAATGCAAAATATTGCTAGACTACAGCTGGGCGCTAATAAAGCCGAGATGTAATTAGCGGTCCTCGGGAGCCTCTCGAGTTATTGGATTGGCTTGGCTCGGGGGAGGGACGTGCAGCCGGCAGCCACATGAATGCATAAGCGGTGTTTCCATATCAAGCTTGTGTTTCAAAGCCAGGGCACGCCATCGGTGATGATGATAGGGAAGCGGTGCACCCACTTTTAACAAGGAATGGGGGTTGAATGCTTCTTGAACCCCTTCTTTAATGCCTCACCCGCTCTGTGCTTTTTACCTTGATGGTGGCCTGCAGCGTTCACCCCTCCCCATCACCCCTCTTTACTTGGAAGGACTTGATGTGCTGAATGTAATTGAGTCACATTTTATTTAAAAAGCAGCAGGCCCCGTGCCATTGTGGGATACACAAAAACAACAAATGTAACCAGAAAAAAGAGCTCTTAACTATGGGAAAGAGTTGGCCAACAAATTAAGACCACGGCCAAACAAGTCAGAGTATTTTTAAGGGCATACAGGGTTGTGTCTTTGGCTACTATCACCATACCTTTTATACACCAATCATTTTACCATAGCAAAACCGTAAGGACACACTGTTGAGTTTGCAGGATTATACACACACACACACACACACACACACCCCCTGAATCGGTCACCAGCCAATCGCAGGGCACACAGAGACAAACAACCATCCACACTCACACCTAGGGACAATTTTGAGTGTTCAATCAGCCTGCTACGCATGTTTATGGAATGTGGGAGGAAACCGGAGTACCCGGAGATAAACCACGCAGGCCCGGAGAGAACATGCAAACTCCACACAGGGAGGCCGCAGCTGGAATTGAACCCGGTACCTCGGCGCCGTGAGGTCGACGCGCTAACCACTGGATCACCGGGCCGCCCGCCCCCTTTTATTAATGTCTTATTAATACTTTTGTGGAACACTGGAATACAATACGATACATCTCTATTTGTACAGTTGCTTTCACAACATCTGCAGCTGTAGCAAAGCACTTTCCAGAACTTAATAACACAACATATTGTAGGACAATCTTGTCGGACCTTTTTGAAGGAGGGAACAATTACAGTCGAAGTGGAATGTTTACAGAAAGATTGGGATGAGGAGGGCAAAGCACAGAACCGCTTTGACTCTGTACCGTAAACTACACACACAGGCATCAATTTACCGGAGACCAGAGATGCTTTTGCCGATATGTCTGCTACTTGAGCCACATGCATGAATCCACGACACCACCGTCTCCTAACTTAATGTTCCACGGCACCCAAAAAAATGTCATAAAAAGTCTTACTCTAAAATAATGATGATCTCGTCGCAATTTACTCATAAATGTACTGTACTTACTCAGTGTGAAGTCTGGCTTAATTGAAAGCTCGTCACAAATGTGGTATTAATTATTTAAGGGAATGGTTGAACATTTTCTGGGGAAGCAAGGCCCTAATATGGAACGTTTTAAATTTTTTTATTTTTATTTTTTTTAATGGAGTACATGGATTGAGATATGATTCAATGAAAACAGAAATACCACGATTTAGTATTCACATTCATATGTCAGGAGCTTGCTTGTTTGCTTTGAAAGAGCAAGAAATACAAATGATGGACCACAATTTTATGGCAGATACTTTGCTTTCCTTTCAATTATTGTGTAGAAGCCATTGAATTTAAATGGTTTCCTATCTTGGGAAGCATAGAGGCCTGGTGGTGAACAGATCGGTTCACTTTTCTGGGTTGGAAAAAAAAAATCTCAGTCTTGGGCTTCCTGTGTAGAGTTTGGGTTAGGATTCAGATCACCTGTGAGCTAATGAGGACAAAGAGGAGGCGTATGAAAAATGAATAGATGGGCAACTCAGTCTTGGGCTTCCTGTGTAGAGTTTGGGTTAGTATTCAGATCACCTGTGAGCTAATGAGGACAAGAGGAGGCGGATGAAAAATGAATAGATGGGCATTCCATGCTTTATCCAGTACTTTCAATTCCTCCAAATACACTTTTTTAGTTTTTTTTTTTAAGTTGAAATTAAACAGTGAAGCAAACGGCTTTAACTCCGTCGTTGCTTAATCGTTTCACGTTTTTCCCTTCAAGTCAAGGATGTGGCAGTGTTCATGTTTTGTCTTTGAACGCAGCCGTCGGGGGCACGCTTCATTTTAGGACAGGTCAAGTTATCCGCGAGGACGTTGGTGAGGGGTAGTTGCACCGCCCGAGGCAGACGCGGCATCAGTGGGCAGACTCCTCCCGTATGTATCCACACTCGCTGTTGTTGTTTGGCACGCTCTCCCTCGGAAGGCGTCATTAGAGCGCTCGGAGGAGAAGCACGAGAAGGTGGAGGTGCGCTCTAATGGTCTTTGTCAACCTCCCGTTGTTGTGTCAAGTTTCATATCGGGTTGGCCAACGGTTTCGGAAAATGGCGGACCATCGAGATGTGGCGAGTCGCCACTTGGTAGGAGTTATGCGTTTCTTTTTGGGGGGTTGTTGCACTCATGAAAGCCAAATAAACAAAAGAATAAAATCTGGATGAATCCCGCTGGTTTGTTCTGGGCCAGTCCTACAACCGCAGTGTGTTATCGCTGGGGCCAATTCACGCCAGGACCAACCGGACTTTGATGTAATTCTCCGTCCGTTTTCTATAGTGTTTGTTTGGATGGATGAACCTGTCCCAGCTGACTTAAGGAGAGAGTGTTAGAGTCTTGAATTAAACAAATATGCAGATTTTTGGAATGTGGGAGGAGGACAGAGAACAGTTTTTCACCCGGGTCCCGTCACTTTTTTAGTACTTTTTGTACAACTAGCAAAATTCACAACTTATTTCATGAGTGATGCAATACAGTTCAATCGGTATTGTTTTTTTTTTTTTCCACATTTTGACATCATGAGATCAAGATGGCACGTAACAATCGATCAACAGTAGCTTGGCATTGTGAGACTTCAAACAGGATGTTCTCAGAAGGGAGTCACAAAGTGTCATCAACAGATTGCAACAGAGATGCAGAGAGACTGGTAGAGTAACGGAAAGGCATGGACGTGGACGTGCTCGGAAATGTATTGGTTGGGTGTGGTGGAAAATCACGACTTTTTGCTGTTTTTTTTTTTTTCTCGCAGGGATGACGACGACATCAACGACGTGGCCTCCATGGCGGGCGTTAATCTGAACGAGGAGAGCGCCCGCATCCTCGCCACCAACTCGGAGCTGGTCGGCACGCAGATTCGCTCGTGCAAGGATGAAGCCTTCCTGCACCCTGGGCTCCTCCACCGACGCATCCTGGAAACAGGCGAGTGTGCCACAACTGCAGGGTCGAATGCCACTTTCCAACTTTTGATGCGGAACAAGCGGAGAATGATGAAATGATGAGTGTTTGTGGTTTGTCGGGAACATCTTGTATCTGTATTTCAAGTGGCATTACTCGGAACGACGTTTGATATTCTCTCTGTCTTTGCCGGCAGATGTTTGAGGCTGCAGCCCTCTTTTTTTGTTTGCCCTCGGTTTAAATATGATACACTTAACAGTTCTTTCACCTCCTTTTAATGAATTCTTCAGTGGCTCTCTGTCTGAATTCACTGGACCGCGGGCGCACACGCATGAATACTTGATGGCTTTGTCTTTTTAAAAGGCGGCCCGTCAGATTTGTCCTGTGGAACAAAGCGGTCCGGTTGAGAGGAATCAGACAGGGAGATTTATTTATTTATTTATTTTTTAAGTCCTTGATGATGAAATCAATGTAAGCCAAGGCAGCGATACTGTCTTAATTACCTGGTATTTGCACTAAAAGCCGTTTACATCGCCTTCAGTGACAGTATCAGAGCCACAACCGAGTCGTTTGTATGTAAAAGCCGCCTTTTTCCACCTTGAATCTTGGTCATCGTTTACAGGCTGTTTGAATGGCGCCATAGGCGGGAGCGTGAAGTCCTTTTGACAGTGTCTCATCGATGAATCCTTTAGTTGCGTGTGTTCGAAGAGGACGCGAGGATGGAATGTGGCCGTGACGCACCCTCAAATTGAAAAATGTTCAATGTAGGAGTGGCCTCACATCCAATCGGAGAGGGACTGGCAGAGTGATTTCAGAGTGCTAATAGCAATTGACCCACCAGCAGGAAAAGCCTCCTTGTTACTTCCTGGCAGGCTGCTCTGATGACAATTCCAAATACGAGCAAGCTTGCACCGGGCCGCTGTCGATGTCCTTGGGTGCTATCCCACAGCGAACACCAAGAAACCAAGTGCAGTGTGAAAAGGCCTTCTGATGCTCTAATATTACCTTAGTGATTGGGTTGACTTTGTCGTCACATTATACAAACAATAAGAAAAGAAACGGGCCAAAGGTGCCGTCCCGGATCCTACCTCAGAAAATGAAAAATCTGAAGGTCAACTTTTTTCCATGTCACAGTTTTGTAGAACAGCACTGACACAGAACGAGTAGACCCAGGAATTTTCCACTCTGTGTGGTAGTATCAGAGATTTGGGACGCCGCCTGAGGCCCCTTTCATACTAGATGTAAACAGTTTTTTTTTTTCATGGCTGCTGTGCTTTGTAATAGGCACCAACACAGAACTGGGGTTATGAATTTGACCAAGGAAATTTATGCCTCCGGCGTTTGAATCAGGACCGACATGAGGTGTGACGTGTCTGTGGCCCCTTTCACACTGGCTACAAAGTATATATTTTTTTTCTGTGGTCTGTTCTGTATAAACGTCACTTACAATGAATAGGGCGGATGAAGTAAATGTAGTTATTTTCCACTTTCTGAGGTACTAACAGAGCCGTCACTGAGGAAGGATGGCGCCAATGACCCTTTTTTTTTTACCCTTTTTACTCTTCCTTGTAAACAGGAACAAAAAGAATACAGAAACAATGTTGGTCATTGGCTCTTATGGCTGCAGTGTGGAAATAAGCACCATTACCCAAAATAAAACATCAACATCATGACTGGACATCATCAAAAAACACCACACGTCATTTCACACAGCGGGGAGCCAGGCGACCTCATCTTGTTTCATCTCCATTAAAGTATCGTTGGGCCCGCAGGCTAAGTGGACTCTTGGCATGGTTGTTATTCCATCACCTTGGGGGCGCAGGGGTTCTTTTTAAAAACATACACTTTCCCTCCAGGGGCGGCACAGCATGGAACAGTGGGACAGGAGACGAGGCCGCCCCCTGCTGGGCTAGTGGCACCCGTGCAGCTTTGTTGTGTCAGTTGATTGGCCTAGCCACGCTCCCAGGTGACAGCAGTCCGAGGGAGGCACCCCGGGCCTGCCAGGTCCGCTCAATCAGAGAGTCCTCCTTGGTTTTTTTTTTTGAGCGTGCAAGCACAGAGTCTTGTTTTGTCTCAAACTTGACTTTGACCTTTTTTGGCCTCAGCTTTCGCCAGAAAAACCCTATTTTAAACGGGGTTTACTGAATGGGTGGAGAAAAGTATCAGGGGTGTTCTAAAAGAATCCCTACTAGGATGAAGATGAAAGTTGATAAGACAGTGATGAGGCCGACCATGATCTATGGATTGGAGACAGTGGCACTGAAGAAATGACAGGAAACAGAGCCGGCTGCGGCTGTCGGAAATGGGAGATGTTGAGATTTTCTTTAGGATTGCATTATAAATGAGCTCATCAGAGGAACAGCCAAGGTTAGAGAGAGCCGAATTCGATGGTTTGGACATTTCCAGAGGAGAGAGAGTGAGTGTGTCCGTTGAAGGGTGGTGAGGATGTTGCTGCCGGGAAAAAGAGCAAGAGGAAGACCTGAGAGAATGTTGATGGACGTAGTGAGGGAAGGCATGAGGGCAGCTGGTGTTAAAGAGGTGGAGGGAGAAGATCAACTGTTTGTATTTTACCCTACCCTAATACCCTAAAAGTTTTTTTTTTTTGTGTGTGTGTGCGTGCGTGTGTGAGTGTGTGTTGTGCGCACGACACATCTGGCCACCATTGTTGTAGAGTCCAGATGGCACATCATTTAGTAGATACTGGATTAAAGGATAAGTGTATACATATTTCAGACTTTAAGTTTTAATCATTTAACTATTGTAGATGTAAATGAACTTTTTTTTGGTCATGATTAGTGAAAAAAATCTTTCATTGTCACTCCAATACACTTTATGAGTGAGCAAGTTTGTATGACTCGCCTTATAACTTGCAGCAAGTCACTTGCTTGACCCAAGTCGTGACCTGACGCAATTGAACTTTAGCGCTGGCTCGACCTTACCTGCTTTATTTCTTTGCCACAGTCACGTGGGACTGTCTTGAAACTTTATTTAAGACATGCCTGTGACTTGTACATATGTAATTTACTCTAGACACAACTTTAGCATTGTTATTTGAGCCACAATTTATAGTATTGAGTACTATTTAACATACACGTTCCTTGAAATATTAATTCTTGCCTTGAAAAGATCTTCTTTTCAGAAAGCAAAGGGAAGCCCATTAGAGTCTTTCCCTGACCTGGTGACATTGCCACACGTGTGTGTGTGTGTGTGTGTGTGTGTGTGTGTGTGTGTGTGTCGCCACGGTAATGAGCACGAAACGTTTCAAAGCACAAGCGAGCCAGTGCTATATGTATTGTCGGGCTGATTTAAATAATTGCTGTGGTTTACTTAAAAGGCTGCTAGAGAGAAGAATTATGTTAATGGAGTCATTTAAAAATAAGTTGGAAAAGGATAGCAAGTCTTTTTTGTTATGACTTGCGATGAATTTCGGCTCCGAGGAAGTGAAATTATCTGTAGTGGCAAAGAGACGGTCAGTGTCGTTTACTCTGCTTTGAAGGAGCTTCTAACGCCCCGCGTCAGAATTTTGTGAAACAAGTTGAATTGGAGACGTTAATTTCACATTCTAATCCAGTATAGTTGTGCGTGCGTGTGTGTGTGCGTGCGTGTGTGCGTGCGTGTGTGTGTGTGTGTGTGTGTGTGTGTGTGTGTTAAAAGAAAACAAGTCTCTTCATTGTTATGGTTGCTTGCGGTTATCTGCCCAAGGTTTTGGCTTTTCTACAGGTTTTCTATTAGTTTGAGGTGTGTGGTTAGGCCACTCTATGAGTTTACAGTGCCTTGTGTGTAACCAACTTTTTTCTTGGAGTCCCAATTGTCTCCGTTAACAAATTGCAGCCGTGTACTTGAAAGGGGAAGTCAACGCCGTTGCTCAGGGCTCAGGGAATGACCAATCACGGCATTACGAATGTCCTTCCATACTTATTTGTCATGTCCTTGTTTATGATGATACCAGTGCAGCGTGAGCCGTGATTAGTCCATACCCGAACCCTGAGCAACTGTGATGTCATTTTTAGTCGACAGCAAGTGGCAAAATGGCCGCCCCTGAGATGGACAAAAACGGGTGGATTTTAACTGCGTAACACATATTCCACATATGCAATATGGACCAAATGAACAGTCATTTTGCGTGTCTTCCACTTTTTTGCTGATGATGTATTTTAATGTTGCTATGGATTCATGACTTTTTCCTGGTTTCATTTCACAGCCAAGAAGTTTGGTGTCATGGAGGTGCCCATGGAGGTCGTGACGTTTATATCGCACGCCGCACAGTCGCGACTTCGCACAGTCGTTGAAAAGGTTTCGGCCATCGCGCAGCACAGACTGGACTCCTGCAAGGTATGACGTCCTCTTTGAATCTTATTGCAACTGTACAGCTACCCAATGTATCGGGACACATACATTCCCATCCAGAAGTATTGGAACTGCAAGATCACTTTCTTTGTTTTTGTGATACACAGAAGACATTTGGGTTTCGATGAATGTGAGACCAAAGTATAGAATTCCATAAATTAATTAATAATAAAAGGTTTAAAATTCTTTGGTCAGGAATAAACAAACGATAAAGAATTTGAGCACCTGTGTCTTGCAGTGGTTGTTACAATAAATCCCCTGCGATAAACGTAAGAGTTTAGTTGATAAAGTGAAATGCAGGGTAAAAAGTTCAGATAAAGATTAAGCCAGTGTGCTTTTCCATATTAGATGTAACTTGTAGGAATAGAAACACATTTAATTGGCCAACATTAAAGCCCGAGCATTTGGGAAAACTTTGAAAAGGTGTTTTTCCTGACACCAAGGGGAAAACTGCCTCCACCCCCGTCCTGTTTTGCGCTTCTTTTTTTTCATTTCTTTCATTTTTTTCCCCCTCTTTTTGTGGTTTGGCAAACGAGGTGTGAGAGCGACAACCGGCGCTCTGTGAAGCCACTCTGTTGACATCAGCGAAAAAGGAAGGAAAAAAAATTAAAGGCGGGAGGGGAAAAAGATGAAGCAGGCCTTAAAGACTAACTGGGCTCGCTAGGTTTGCGGTGGCAGGAGAGTGCAGGCTCAGCGCTGCAACAAAGGCTGGATGAGAGAACGCGAGAAACAGGAAGCGGCGGTGCGACAGGAATCCTCTGATGTGTGCACTCGCTTACGCTCTCCTTGACGGAAGCGGCAGCACATACCTGCACCTCGCACCAACATAAGCAATTATCTTATTAACTTTTGATAATCTGCAAAAAAAAAAAAAAAAAAAAAGTTGTTTTCTTTGTCTTTACGCGCACCTTGTTGGGGGTTTTCCCAAGTGATATGCAATGTGCTTTATGCAAAGAGAGGCTTAGGCTGTAAACAGAGCTTTTTAAAGCAAGCAACTTGGGAAGCGTAACTTCAAGAAACACACGTCAAATGAGTGAGGAACGTTTACGTTTTGTAAATTCCTCTAGCCGGGATTACAACACGCTGACATTGGGGCCGATTTAAGAGCTTGATTTCCCGCCTCCGATCATAATCAAAAGGCCTGATTCACTGGTCAGTGGCAAATTTTAATCAGAGACAACTTTATTTGTTCCTAAACTTATTTGTCTCGCTGATTAAAAAAAAAAAAAAAAAAAGTCTTTTTCCCCCCTCTCACATCCGGTTTTTGAGAGATTTTCATTTTTTCTCCGTTTGACCTATACAAGCTTGCGCAATACGGATTTTACCATGTGTTGTTATTTGTAGTTCTGACATTTCAGAATGAAAAAACACCTGTTGCCAAACCTAACCTTTAATTCATAAGTAATACTAAATTTATATTACTATATTACATATTGTATCATTTATTTTTATTATGAAAACCTGATGTACTAGGAAAAATAAAACTGAGCGCATATGTGAATCAGAATCAATTAGACTTAATTAAATCCATATTGCACAAGCTTCCACATCGGTCAAACCTAAAAACAAAAAAATTAGAATGCTTTTTTTTCTTTATCTGAAACATGAAAAATGGTGGTGGCTTTTGTTGGCTGGAACAGATTGATGGCATTTTAATTCCTTTCAACTTCACACTCCACTCAATTTTATTTAATTTGGACTTAAAGAACAGCTGCAGCTGATACAAAGTGCTGAACTTGATGACAAAAATTCTAATTGGGTGCGTGTATGATGTGCACTGGGAGGTCGTTCCCCAGGTTACTCGACTCAACTCAACTCAAGTCTGAATGAGAAAGTGTCTTTTTTGCTCAGCGGGACATAGACCTGACAGTCATCTATATAGCTGTGGAAGGAAATACCATGTTTCCTTAAGATGGAACTCAATGGGAGCCGATTCAGTGAGAACAGCAGAGGCCCCATAATTGAGCCCTGAAGAACACCACACAACAGCGGGGCAGTTCGTGACTCAGATCGGCCAAGGTAACACAAAAGATTCTGTTTGCTAAACAGGACCTAAACCACTCTCGGGAGCTACCGCTAATGCCCACCAGGTGCTGCAAACGAGCCAACACAATACTGTAATCCACTGTATCAAATGCTGCAGTTAAATTCAAATAAAACCAGACATAGTCTCCCGTGTCATTTGCCAGGAGGATGTCATTAAAAACTCGTAACAAGCTGACTGTGCAATGCATCTTATTAAAGACTCAGTTGGAACACATTAGTGTGACTAAATGTTTTGATTTGAGACGAGATGTGCCGTGGTATTGAAATGACATTGGGAATTCCCACTGTATGAAGTTTTCAGCTTTTCACAGCTGTTAATATTTACTCTCCTTGCGCTGATTATACGATTAGACATGAGAATTGTGCCATTGTTACAGAGCAATCTAGCAGGAATGTGTGTTTGCACTTATTCGAGTGGTCAGATTACATCGCGTTTGGTTGCCGTCCAGTGCAGGGTCCGCTGTGACCCGGAGCCCTGCACTGTGTCACTGATGAATGAATGAGAACTGGAGCATTTTTTTTTCACGCTGGGCTGAAATCGATGGGGATTAAAGCCCTTAGGGCATGTGTGTCTTTGCGAGTAAACCAGAAAAGCACAAACCCAGAAACCTTTAACTACTAAATTGAAAACCTTTTTTATGGGCTTTTAGCACCACATGCTGATATTGTCACATTTGATTAATTTTAAATTCCTCTCCAAGAATTGAAATTCAGACATCATTCTATAATTTACACTTTTCTATACACCTGTGCAAACAAGTAAAACTCACTCAGATTTAAGTTAATTGGTTTGGGGCAATGTAAACATCCAGAATCCAGATTTAGGCCCCTTCAAATCAAGGGCCTGACCCGACACGGGAGGGACATTTTGCAGCTGGATCCCATTAATTTACTGTCCGCCAGGTTGTATCTTCCCTTTATTGCTCCGCGGCTAAGATCAAAATGTAAAACTAATACTGATTCTATTTTTCAATACAATACATCTTTATTTGTATAGCGTTTTCACAACAGCTGCAGCTGTAGCAAAGCACTTTACTGAACAGTTACCATAAAATAACAAACTAAGGTAATATAACACAACACCACAAATAAGACATGCACAGTCATGCAATCATAACCATATTCCAGGATATGCCTTGTTGTTTGAAGCAGTTATAGATGAAAAGAGGAAAGTATAAACATGTCCTTTCACCAGTGGATCAGAGACGTCATGCTCAAAATATGCACACGTCTGCTACAAGCTAAGTTTGAAAGTAAACAAGAAGCTGCAGCATCCATTGATGAAAAAAGAGATTGGTTCACTTCTCCTGTCCCATGTAAATCCGCTTCAATTCCAAGTGCCCACTCTCAGGTCCAAATAAGCATCCGCGCTCCACGCCGACGCTCCTCTCTCCTCATCCTCAGCTCCATCAGCCATCCATCCAGCCGCACCAACGCAGACTGTCCAACAGCACCGACATCTCAGCTCAACAAAATGGGGCTGGCTGTGGAAAAAAAGCTGCTCGTTACACATGCAAAAAACACAAGCGCCCCCAGGGCTGTCCAGTGGCGACAGCCAAATAGCGCCAACATTCCTCCCCATCAAAATCAGTACTGGGACACGCGTGCTGCCGAGAAGGCTCAACCGTCAAGCACAGATTCTTTTTCTTTGATGAATGTCGTGGCCAATACGCTGAACACAGTCCACAATGGATCCACACGAAGGACAAAAACCACATGCCAAAAAAAAAAAAAGCCGAAAACAAAAAAAAAAAACAGATCTCTTAAGAGGACTCGCAGACGGCTGCCAATTGTGGCTCCATCTTAATTAATTTTAAAAACAACTAAGCACAAAAGATATTTTTGTATTAGCCTTGGCTTTGGTGATACATTGTGACATGTCAGACCGTTACAGAAAGAGCACATGAATGCAAATGGTTGACTTTTTCAGATAATAGCTGAGGATTGGTTCCACAGAAAAATGCGAATAGTTAAGTTTCTGAATAGTTTACCGTAAATAGGCATGCGGATGTTTACTATATTTCACATTTTTCTACTTGATACAAATTAATTTTGTGTCCCCCCTCCATAGGACGACGAATGCTATGAGCAGTCGGCCGACGTGCGCTCTCAGCTGCGCTTCTTCGAACAGCTAGAGAGGATGGAAAAGGCGAGGAAGGACGAGCAGGAGAGAGAGATCCTCTTGAAAGCCGCCAAGGTAAAGTCAGCGTCTTATCACTGTGTGTGTGTGTGTGTGTGTGTGTGTGTGTGTGTGTGTGTGTGTGTGTGTGTGTGTGTGTGTGTGTGAGCGTGTCCTGTTATTATGTCCTAGTGTGCCAAACAGTGTGCGCCTATGGTCTACGGGGCGCTTGTCTGTGTGTGTATGTTGCGCCTGACACATGAATTTGAGTGTGACACCAGTAGATGAAGTGACCTTCCTGTGTCCTCCCGGGCTCCTGGCCGCAGGGCATCAGTCTGCTGGCTCCACCCAACCACGCATGCACATGCGCATTGCACTCACGAACACACACACACACACACACACACACACACACACACACACACACACACACACACACACACACACACACACACTCACACACACACGCATATACACATAAAGACACTTAACTTGCAATAACATTCCTCCATCTTAACGCTTGTCAATGACTAAAAAGTGATTTTTGTTTTGACCCCTGTCGCTCTCGACTTTGCTAACATGCTAACAATTTGTCCACCTTGGTTAGCCTTTATTAAGCATATTGACACCTTTAAAAGTAAGAAATATTTAAAATTGTGTAAGGTATAATTGAATTGAATAATTAATATGATGCCGTACAATATACAGTAAAGCTAAAATGAAGTAAGTATAGTAGCCATACTGTCAACTAGTCGACTTGTATTGGGAGCTGTCTCTAATATTCTGACCTTCTTATGTAGCTTATTCAAAAAATAAATATATATAATTCCACTTGAAGATCACTGCTGACCAAAAAGAAAGGGGAGACAATCCTCGGCAAATGAAAATGCCCTGCGGTAGCACATTAGCAGGGCGAGCAAGCCAGCTAGCTAGGGTTCATTTAATTAATTTTGAATGGGGACAATGTCCCACAGTAAGGATCGTCATCACCGACACCTCGTCGTCTTAATTGCGTTATTACGCCGCCGTTCCTGCCGCGCATGATAATAGGACACTCGGCTCTTCCGATTTTAACGAAACATGGCTTGTTGTAAGACAAAACAATACCTCAGAAGGAAGACGGAACTTAGGTACTTTCAAATGTCTAAAACTGGAATCTATTAGTTCGAGCAATCTGTGCAAAGGACTGCACAGATTGTTTCGAAATAATAGCAAGTCATCTTACGTCAAAACAACAAAAAAGTAGATGAGAGGCAAGAAATGCACAGTTTTAGACTGGCCTAGCCAGTTCCCTGACATTAACCCCACAGAGCACCTTTTACATGCCAACATACTGCCATTAAGTTCAAAGGAAAGTTTAATGTAAAAACTAAGAGGTTGACATTGCAAAAGCAACAACACTGAAAAAATGAGCCTGTTGCCACTGGTAAAAGATGATGGAGGACAAATCTGAAGACTGACTTTAAAAATTATACAAATAAACATTTTGTCACATTAAAAAGATGGCCGATTTCCAGGGCTTGTATTTGGACAGGCTCCGACTACGAATTTTATATCCGTGTTTGAGTTACATGGATAGTTTTGATCCTCTGTATCAATGAGAAAAATATGATGGCAATATCGTACCATGATTTACTTTGCTATGCCGCCCCAAACTGAGACTTGCGTGAAATGATCCCCCCCCTCCCCAAAAAAACCTAAAATACTGCAAATTTTCCTACTATTTCTTCACACTTACATGTAAGTAGTTTGACTGTGAGACTTTATTTTAAACCACCCAGATGACGTCCAGCTTGACTAAAATAGCTGCTTTTTGCAATGATGTAATGTACCGGCATGGCCTGCAGTGGTCAGCCGTACACACGTTTTAGCGCAGCGGTGAAGGATTTCCCAGGGACACGCGTATTCACCCATATCTCGGCCGCTTATTAAAATAGAAGTGTTGTTGCACCAGGGACACACACACACACACACACACACACACACACACACACACACACACACACACACAAACAGATCGCCACACTGGCTCACAGTGACACTGTCACTGATACTCACCAACATCCTTCACCCCCTTTGTGTGTGTGAATGTGTGCTGGCTCATGCAGAATTTTTAATAACCTCTTTTGATTAGCGTCCCCCTCCAGCGGCTTATTTAGGGCTGGATTTGGAGCGGGTTTAAAGGCCACAGGCCCCCCGGGGGTGCGCTCCGTTGCACTTCTACTCAATTCAAACACGATGTCCTTGACACCTCCGTATCCTGTTCCCGTTTTATGTTTTTTTTTTTTTTTTTTTTTTAATCTGTAGCAGCAACAGATGAGTCGGGATGCTTTGTTGGGTAAAAAGGCGGATAGGTGGTTTCTTTAAATCAGCTGTTAAACTGCGCGCACCCCATTTCATGTTTTGCACTATTTTCACTGCAGCAGCAACAGATTACAAGTGATGCTTTATCGGGTATGAGGGGAAGGGAGATTTCTTGAAACCAGGTGTTAACCTATACGCGGCCCCACTTTCCACCCCCTCCACCCCTACCACCCACTTTTCACTCCACAGAGTCGCTCCAGGCAAGAGGACCCAGAGCAAGCTCGACTGAAACAGAAAGCCAAGGAGGTAAGATCATTACCCTTGACATTTGCCAGACTTGCGCATATGAATTTTTCATACACTTGCTTCACATGTAATTCAGTTTAACATCAAATTTAAGAACAAATTAGTGGGAGAAATCATTCCCGCCCTCTCAACTCCCCCGAATAAAGACAATCAGATTCATCAGTTGGCAGCTTTTACCAGTTTGTTGCTCCACGTGAAAGGGTACGCTCTGAAGTAGTTGCCAGCCAGTCTCACTATGTGGACAGTTTAGAACCTTCAGTGAGTTTGCACACAACAATTTATGTCAAGTCAAAATGTGTTTAGGAAGCATGCTGACCTAGTGGTTAGTTTGTCTGCATCACCGTTTGGAGATCGGGGTTCCAATCAACGACTAAGCCGGCCTCCTCCAACATTCCAAAAATGAATTGGAAATTTTAAATTTTGAATAAAGCTAACATGCATGTTTTTGGAATGTGGGAGGAAACTGGGGCACCTGGAAAAAAACACATGCAAGTATGAGGAGCATGCATTACAGAACATACACACAGAGAGGCCAGAGCCTGAATTCGAACACCCAACCTCAGGGCTGTGAACCACCATGCTGCTAAGCAATGAAGCTTTAAAATGAAAATTTCAACACCAAAATTGCAACAATAAAATAAAAAATAATAATTTTTCTGTGAAATTACACTGTTGTTCTCAGAATTCACTTCAAGTTAATCTTAGTAAAAAAAAAAAGGTAAGTTACCTCAAACAACCCCCCCCCCTTTTTTTTTTTTTTAACAAAACCTATTCCTTTATTTCTTTTTCTCTACAAAAATAGTACTTTATCCTTGTAACATAATAATCTTTTCTGGAAATATTCATAATTGTTTCCTGCTGTGCTAATACTCCTTCCCTTGTTCGAAAAACTTTGCACTTGAACTATCACTTTCCTTTTTCCCTATGCTGTTCATTTGGAAACAAACTTCTGTTTCATCATGGTGGGAGCCTTGTACAAGCACAAAAAAAAAAAGCAAAAAAGAAGAAAAGCAAGTTTACCCTCCGAATAAGCGTTTCAGACGCAGCGATTTACTCCCCGCATTAACTTTTACGGCTACAAAGGATCGCAAAGACGCATTGTCTCTTGCGTGTAATAGGCTAAAGCGCCACGCTAAGGCGCTTTAATCTGAAACGGAAGCAGCGTCTCGTCTCGTATAGGACACATTCCCAGTGGAGCTTCTTCATGTTTACGAAAGAGTTCTGTCATAGTTTGGGTTTGTTTTTGTCCTTGTTTGCTGCACGCTAACGTCTTTCACTCGATGTGGGCAGAAGGATTAAAAAAAAAAGCAGCGCTCACCTGTTGTTGTTGTTCTTTGCAATGCCAACCTGAAGCAGCACATCTTCTTTCTTTAAATCTTTTATATATTTTTTTCAATATAGTAATTTTTTTTTTTTTTTTTGGTGTACACTTTTCCAAGTTGCACTTCTGTAACAAATCTGAAACCACACAACAACACCACAAATAGTTGGCAGTTCACAAAATAAACTTTTAACTGTCAGCAAAATAGAAAGTAAAAACATCATCATTTTCACCCTTTTTTTCACCAAGAGCCGCACTCAGGCATGGTACGTAAAGAAAAATAACATAAAAAGCTAATGAACTGCAAAAACAGAATTGTAAATATCAGGAAAACCCACATATCGAAAACCGTATCAAGCCATCTTGTGGAGAGACGCACACCCCCGAAGTAACACCCGTTTGGATTCTCCAAGAAGTGTACTTGGTCATACACAATTAAAATAAAAATTTGTTATTTCATCACAAAAATGAATTTGTAGTTGAAAGATTCATTCATTCATTCATTCATTCATTTTCCGATCCGCTTTATCATCACAAGGGTTACGGGGGGGTGGTGGAGCCTATCCCAGCCGTCTTCGGGCAGTAGGCGAGGGACACCCTGAACCAGTTGCCAGCCAATCGCAGGGCTAGTTGAAAGATTGAAAAAGTCAAATAGTACCAAATAACAGCTCATTTTGGTCATCTGTACCACTCTCAAGCATGCTTCACAGCTCAAGTTTTTGTTTGACCAGTTTGCACTGAATCAAGTACTGTACATGAGTCGAGATGAAAAATAAAGATGTAATTTTTTTTAGCAATTATGAGCAGAAAACAAAAATTTCCAGTAGTCAAAATACCAACGCATGTCAGCGTTTTTGTTTTTTTGTCTATTTTTTTTCAAGAGCTGCATATATTGAGTGTTTCTATGCTATGCACTCAGCGTGACTGCTGCCCACTCTTCCTTTTCTTTTTAGCAGCAGATGCAAGTGTCTTTCTCAAGGGCACCCTGCCATTGTCGCCGGGCGGGGCCAAACGCTTTCATTTGGGGGATTTTTCTTTGGAGTTGAACTCGTGACCTTCTAAGGCAATGAGCCGCTCTCCGCCGGCGAATGGCAACACTCGTCGTCTTCTCACCCTGGACGTCTTTTTTTCTCCAGCTCTGGTTTGGAGCGTTCACGCACAGATCTCAGCTCTTAACCATAAGCCCCCGTATATGCAAATGAATCAGTGTAATAGGCAGTGCGACAGGTTCGGACCCCCGAGGGGAATCCGTGTGATCAAAGTGGATCTTCTGCCTGTTAAGTGGCAGTGCGCTCGTCATGTGGATGTGGCCAGATTAGCGCCGCACACACACGCACTGACATTCTAGCGAGCTCCTTTTGGGAAATACAGCAATACAGTTGTGAACACAGACCGACCGCTTTTCGCCTGTGTGGCATTTTTCTTGGCAAACTCAAACGTTATCGGACTTCAACTCAAAAATGCGCAATGATTTGGCTGTCCTGGCAGTCACTTTACTGAAAGAGGCAGTTTCTGAAAACTGTCACATCTATGTTGCCTGAAGTTAAATATTTTCTGTGAAAAATACTGACAATCCTTGTATATTGTCAATCAATCAATATCCGTTATTTAACAGGGATTAAAAAATGGTTTAAAACCGCTTTTCAAACCACGGCAACCACGAAAACGACGAAAACACTGACAGATGTAAAGCAGTTTGCTGAAACAGTACTAATACAACAAAATATCAGTTTGGCGATTGACTCGAAAAGAAAGAAAAATCTTTGTGAATTTTCTTTTAGTTTATGCAGTAGACCGAATGCTTATTTTTCTTGGAAATGGTGTTTATACGACCACATTTTTTTCATTTTTTTTTCCCTACTTCTTTATAACGCGTCTGATATAGTTTCCTTCATGAATGCAATTTGTGAAATGAAGGAAGCTATTATGGACTATTTTCAAAAAACGGTGCTATTATTCCGAACTGTGCGTATATCTAACACCCCCATCCTTTTTGTCGCTTTAATGGCCGTCGTTTCTCAGCGCTCGTGCCTCTCCCCGTTTCCATCACCTGCCCAGCTCAAGGCAACAGAGCTGGCTGTTTGTGTCACCGCCGAGTCTGTCGGCAGCTCACAACTTTCATCAGGATAATGAGGGCTCAGACACTCCGCCGAGGCCCAGACCTTCTCTCCCGAAGCACGCACCTACTGTACTGTACTTACAAACACATGGCGAAATCACCACCGCCATTGCGGAGTCACGAAATTAATAGGCTTTATTTTCTTGAACAGAAGTGTAAGAACTCAGTTTCCTTGAACGGCAATGAGGAAAATTTACCGGTAAGTGTTGAAAAATATATGTTGTGTGTACAATATTTTTCCTTACGAATCTTCTGAACAGTAGCTTACAATTTTTTTTTACTAGTAAAAAAAAACAAAAACAAAAAAAAACATGGCTTAAGAGTTGTAACACTCTTGCAAACTTTTCTCTCATATATTTATATATTTTTTTGTTCTCACAGTTTATGAATTTGGCCCTAGTGCTTAATCATCTCCATGTTGAAACAACCAGGACTCGAAATAAGCTACAAAGTGACTACTGTGGCGTGTCATATAATGAAAGGAAATTGTAATTTTTTTTCCCATACAAGTGTATAAGGTTCTTTTTTTTTTTTTATATACTGCCCTTTTCCACGAGTAATTCTAGTACCTCAGTTCAAAAAAGTGCTTGAGGCATTTTTTTCTGCCTCGGGCACTCGTTAAATTATTTGTAGTTTACAGTGTCAGGATAAAAAGTCACACCTGCTGCAGCAACAAGTGTTGCATGACAGTAACATGCCAACCGCCATTGCGGTGAGAAGGCAAACTTCAAAATAAACTTTACCTTATAATATGTGGACATCAATGCCTCGGGACACTTTTATTTTTGAACCTGTGCCCGGCAGCGTGTTGCAGCGTGAGTCGTATTCCCAACTGTCGTTAGGGCCACCTTATAATGCCGTCACAAACTGTTGCCACCCACATCAGCAACATGTTTTCCTGAAATAAAGTTCAACTGCTACTTAAAGACAAAATCAGAATATTTTAAGTCACTACAGTTTTTTCTTTTATCGTGTAATGAAATGCAATTACCGGTCGTGCTTGTGGAGGTTTGGATGTGGGGGGCTAGTATTTGTGTTTGGCACACGCCACATGCACAGATCCGCTACAGGAATTGACAAGTACAAGTTAGTGGTTTGGTGATGGAGCGTTGCATCCACCAGTGAAAATGTACTTTGATTTTTGACCCCATTGAGACTCGCTTTTCTCTTCAGACTGAGCTGTAGCCTCTCTCTTCATCCTGATGTTCTACACGCTTTTGGTCAGCATGGTTATAAAAGCTGAACTCGGCCTTGACCTAGAAGTACAAGCAGTGGCTTATTAGCACAGGACCAGGATCACCCAATCAGAAAAGGCAAAAAGTGTCTAAAGTATGTTATTATTATTGGTCTTCGATTATTTTGACAACAGCTTATTAACAGACACTTTTTAATTGTGAGAAATGGGATAAAATTATTTCTTTTGATGAAATTCAATACAGAAGCTGTGCCTAATAAAGCGGCCCCATCAGAATCCGAGACCGCGGTAATATTTTCATCCATCCTCCCTTGCATCCAAGTGCTCCAGGCCTCTTTTACACGAGGCGGGAACATGAAAAATTC